TTTTCTACCGAAGTGATAAGAGAGAAGATCAATGGAATATCGTCTGACATAGGTTCTTTGTAACAACGGGGATTTAATTTTTCAAATCGGACTTGCGTGATATCAAATGTATATAAGTACGAGTAAGGTTTGACAAGTATATATGTATGTATATATGCATATATGTATAGATATGCGCTACGTGACGTCTTGTACTCGAAGAGATAAGCTCACGCATCAAAATGTATATATATGTATATATATATATATATATATATATATATATATATAAGACATGTGTATATATATATATACATAAGATGTACGTTAGAAGAAGACAACAAGCACATATAGTTCTAGATTCGGTAGATGCAGGGGTAGTCCTTTCTCCGTCGCTCACCCACGCTCGCAAACATACAGAGACCGCACGACGGAGTCACACATAGAAAAGCTGGACCTCGTGGTGGTTCGGTGGAGTTCGGATACGCTCGGTGGCGGGAACGAGGACGGAGAATAGTGGAAAGCAAAGAGTACGGTGGTTAGAAGGAGCGAGATAGAAAACGGGTCACTCTCTCTCCTCCTTTCAGGATTCGGCTGGCTGGGATACCTATGTACATCTGCCAAAGCCGAAAGTTCACGAGAGGGCAATGCCTCGCCCACTTTTATGGGACCGGGAGAAGACGTGCGCGCGCGCACGCTTATATCCGAGAAAGGAAGACGTGGAGGGAGGGTGAGGCTGGGGAACGGAAGAGGAAGGAGTGCTGCGGAGCAAAACGAACCCCTTTGACGTGTCGCCGCTTTACATCGAGCCTTCTTCGATATCCTTCCGAGAACGGAAGAGAGACAAAGAGAAAAACACGGAGAAAGAGCTGGAGGATAAGAGAGTATGGAAGAAAAGGGAGTTACGGAACGCAAATATACTCGAAAGGAAGCGGAGATCCACTCGATTTCGTTGCTCGTATCGACCGTCTTATCTTTGCGAGGTAATACGCAGCAAAGGTCAAAGTGAAACCGATGAGAAAAAGAGGGAGAGAGAAAGAGAGAAAGACGCTTCCAAAGTCCCATTCCATCCACATTAGAATCTTTCCTCTCGATCGATCTCGATACGTTGACTCGATAAATCTTGTCTTTCTTAGTAGAAACCTAACTTCTAAAATCGATGTGGAATGGATAGATACTCTACTTAAACCTAGTCGACTGGTATTGTCGCTCATTGTTTCTGCTTAGTTTACTCGTACAAAATACGAACTCTGTCTCAAAATTGACTTAAGAGCGAGGAAGACCACTCGCAAGACGGGCGCGTTATCAGGGTAGCATACATCTAGGAGCGACCGTTGTATCCTTTATAAAATCTCTCTTAGCTAATTTACTGCTCCAAGGATTGTAAATTTATGTTGGTAATTTACGAAGCCGACAACGAGAATATAAATATCCTCGTTATTTCGTTACATTCTTTTCTTTTTTTTTTTCTTTTTTACCTTTTTAACAATTTATCTTTATTCCTCTTCAGATTAGAATTGATTTGAGATCGTTTCTCTCTCTCTCTCTCTCTCTCTCTCTCTCTCTCTCTCGATCGAACTTTCTTTTGAAAATGATATGTAAAAGGAAAATAAGAAAGAAAATAAGTGATAGTATGTAATAGGTTTTGAACTTTGACATTCGAAAATCGAGTCCGTTGAGATTCAAGAAAAAGGAATCGCATGCGAGAGAAGAAACGAGCGTGAAAATATGAAAAAGAAAAAAAGTATAAAAAGAGCAAAAGAAGGAAGAAAGAGGGAGAAAGAGAAAAAGAATGAAAAAGAGAGAAAGAACGAATGAAGACGACGACACTGTCGGACTCGCTTTCTCCGACGTGAGAGAACGTTGAAATGTTTTCGCGTGACGGACCTTGGTAAAAAGGGAATTCCATTCTAATAACGAGAACGTTCGACCGAGTTCTTTACTTTTTTATACATTCCTCCTCGTGTCTCCAAGTGGTTTTGGTGAATCGCTCGCTCGCTCACTCGTAAGAGTAAGAGAGAACGAGAAATGGAGAACATAGCTTTAATATTCGAGGCCACCTTAAACGAGATATTTTTCGCTTCAAGGACAAGAGCAAAAAGGATTACATCGAGTGGGTGATTCTTAAAGGGGTAAAGTAACGGAAAGGGAGTAAGGCCGTCGCGAGAAACCACTCTTCCTAAAGATATCTTCACAGAGAGTTTGAAAATTAAAAAAAAAGAAAAAAAAAGAAAAAACAAAGATAGAAATGAATGAAATCGACTTGAAATTCATCCTGAAATTCATTCTTCCAAATTGAGAATATTATGAACGCTTCATTCGACCAAATAGATAATATATCTGTATATTAGAAACGAAGAATCGAAGATACGAGAAAAACTTTTTGTTTCGAAAAAGAAAGAGAGAAAAAAGTATCGAGCTTGTTTAAGGAATGGATTGGATAATGGAGCTAGTTTTAAAAAGCCAGTATACTTTGGTATTTCGATCGAAACTATGTTAAATATTGGCAAACGCGTTGATACCATAGAGGGAGAGTAACCGTGCCATCTTGCAACGTGATTAAGCAGTTTAACAATAGTGGCCGGAGGGTACTCTTTGATGAAACTAAGTGAGAGATGATAGAGAGAGAGAGAGAGAGAGAGAGAGAGAGAGAGAAAATGATGGAAGCAATGATCGAAAGTGCAGAAAATCGCGCAAAAATAAAAAGAATAGAAAAGTATTATCAATGATTGGAAGTTTCGAGAAACGACGGATACAAACTCTATTCAGAGTTTATTATAAATTGGCATGTAAGTACCTATAACGTTGCTCTTTGATGAGAGAAGGTGAACTAAACGATATGCATCGGCGTGTATTGAAAATCTGTCCGATACAGAACTCGCATTATAGCATTACGCGTTAGCAAGAGCAGTTGGTATCAAACGTTGATGGACATTAAGAGCCACAAAGGGGCAAATCATGAGGCATCTCGACGCACCTTTACTGGTTTTCGTGGTCCATCAATCGAAATACGTCGATAGGGTACTAAATCCTAGTAAAAAAGGAAAGAAAGAAAAGTGAAAAGAGTAAAGAAGAAATAAACGAGTCGGATGAAGAATGTGGATTTGATAAAACCCGTTGCAGAATTTATAACGTAATCTTTTTCTTCCGCTTTCCGTTTTAACGTTCACCGCTGTACAGACTTCATTTCGATAACGCATTTTTATTATCCAACAACATTATACTAACCCACGATGAGCGTTGCTGAAATGTTTCTTTCTCGAGATAGAACCACGAGAAAAAGGAACTGTCAGAACTCGAAACAAATGCGATTAACAAATGACGTATTAGATAGGATTTATGAAGCTCGAACGAATTGAGTTTTTATTAATTTATCGGTACTTGTACTTTATCTTCGACGAGAATCAAAGATCAAAATGTTAAGCGAGAATTACATTTCTATTTATTTCAAATTTCTTTTCTTACAATTACGCAATAACAATATTTCCGATTAAATTACTATGATAACCCTCGCAAAAATTCATTCATTATTGTCTTTTGACGTACCTGCTCCTTGAAAGAAATATTTTTTCCTTAGATCTCTTGAGATACCGGTAATCGTGCATAAGGCAATTTCGAGCAAAAGATCCGCAGAGTGTCCTTCCTCCCTTTTCAGCTTTGTTGGCGTTGCTCCGTGGCATCTCATAAAATCGTACGAGTGTTTTCTTTCAGAAAGTTCTGAATAAAGTCCGTCCAAGTCCGTGGGTGTTGGAGCCTTCGATGCCTTTCCTAGAAAAGTCGGGATACTTTCGATCTAAATAGTTCCATTGCTAGTCTCGTTTGCTTTCCAAAATACGAAACAAAATTCTCAAAGGAAAATTTGAACGATTGACATTCGAGGACGACATATCTAGATTCTCTCTCGTATTCCACGATATTACATCTATCTCGAGTAATCTCCGAAGCACTAAATAAATATTAATTTCCCCGCGAAAGCTTGACCAATCCTTTCGAAATCAAAATTCAAGAAGACCGAAATTTCATCTCCTTCTTCTTCGTACGATATATTAATATTTCCCTTGAAATAATAAAAACTTTCAGCATTTTATCAATTCGCAATAATCCCAAACGCAAATATATTTATTAGATCGGATTTTTTCTTTTTTCCTCTTTTCAAGTTTTATCTTAGTTTGCAAAACTATGACTTAAGAATATAAATGGATAAGATCGACCGTGGAAAGGCAAACTGTGCTCGACGAAATCCACGACTCGTACTACTTGCGATTGGCGGGACGGGTCACGTGACAACATACTAGCAAGTAGTCACGCTCGAGATTGCGGCACGATCGGACAGCTCGATTTATTTCGACCTTTACTACTTCCGATGGAATTTCTTTTTAGCGAGGACCGAATCGGGCTATACAGGGTGATTCACGTTAAAGATTCGGAAGTCAAACGTATCTTTTAATCAAACTAAATGTACTTTTCGATAAAAAAAAAAAGACCTGAAAAGAATAACGTAAGAACGAAAAGAAACTTTATCGCGAGACAACAACGTGAAGAGAAAGAAAGAGAAATAGAGAGAGAGAGAGAAAGAGAGAGAGAGAGAGAGAGAGAGAGAGAAACATACAAAAGGAAGAAAAAAACAAAAGACAAATAAAAATGGAAAAGGAATCCTAGGAGTAAGACAAGCCGAGGAGAGAATTCTACCGATAGTATCCGAAGGTTGGTAACGAGATGTAGGTGAAGCTCCGCGAGTCGAAGGGGTGGAAAGCGTCGGCGAAAGCAGCAAGAGGGATATCGAGGGTGATGGCAGAGAGGAGTACTAGGGGTAGCCGTCGAAGAACAGAGGGAGAAAGAGAGAGAGAGAGAGAGAGAGAGAGAGAGAGAGAGGGAGGGAGGGAGGGAGGGAGAGAAGGAAGGAAGGAGAGGGCGTCCGAAAGCATAGTGGGAGAATTGCGGGGAGAGGGAATTGAGAGAGGGGGCTTGGGGAGAGAAGGGAGGAGGATCGCTTGCGAGTCGTGTGTTGCGGGCTGCTGCGGCTCGGGCGCGACAGTTCTCTCTCGACCACCGTTGGAAGATTTTCGCGTTCCGTCGAAGGCGAACAGCGAGAGCGAGTGTGTGTATCGAAAAAAAAAAGAGAGAAAAAAAACTGAAGGAGAACTATGTCCTTCCATTTTTTCTCTTTCTCTCTCCCTCTCTAACTTTGTTCCTCTTTGTTTCTCTTTTCAATTGATTTGAAAAGTTCGTTAATCCATGTTCCATTCCTTTCCTTTATCATGAAGATCGAGAAGAAAAGATTATCGCTCGCCAAAGCTTGGTTCCCACGGAAGAGAGGATAAACGGAAGAAATAAAGAAGGAGGTGGTTGGAATTGGTTGAGGTGGTGGAGGAGGTACTGGAGGTGGGAGGCGAGGCGATCGTGTTCAGAACCGGGACGGAACATCGATCAACGGCATGTGGAAACGCCTTGAACCAGATACGAAAGCAGCAGCAGCGTTTTTTTCGGCCTCGACCGCGAATCGCTGGAACGGCGCGCGCTCGGATCTCGAATCTCCTATTAGCCGATACCCCGATGATCTCTTGTCGTCGCATTCATCTTTGAAGTTCGGCCCGCCAACTTCGAATCGGACACGATCGTCCCACGTCGTCGAACAAACGAGGCTCTTTTCCTAATTCGAAGACAGAGGGCGGCTTATCGCTCGAAATTGATCTCGATCTATCTATCGTCTTTTTTTTTCCTTCTTCTTCTTCTCCTCCTCCTCCACCTCCTCCTCCTCCTCCTCCTCCTCCTCCTCCTCCTCCTCTTCGTCCTCCTCTTCTTCCTCTTCTTTGCTCCTCCTCGCGCTCTTTTTATTTCTTATTGTTAACAAAAAAGAAAAGACAAAAGAAAAAAAGAAAAAGACAAATGAACATTATCCTTACGGATGGCCGAATAATAATCGGAGAGTGCGAAATATTATTCATGTTCTCGTTACACGAATTAACGATAATCGGACCAAAGTGAATCAGAAAATTATATTTGAAGATCGTCGACTTCGAAAGTCCGATATTACTTGGAGCTTATCTCAAAGATGTCTTCGTTGTTAAGATCAAACTTGGTAGAAGCTCTGCGGTTTCACCGCTTCCGGAACTCTACGAGTATCGCAAGAAACCTTCTCGATTAGTTCGTTGTTTGTTACATTACGAGTCCTTCGATCTTCGAGAGGTTTGAAGTATCGATAGAAGAAGAGTGTGATTTTCATGCACGCACACACACACACACACACAAAATATATATATATATAAAGAAAGTTTGTTAGATCTTACAAATCGAACATTTATTACGAAAATATAAACAATAAAGAACCTTCGATATATTTTAACGATAATCAAAGTCTAACGAGTAGCGAGAGCACGACGCACACGCCGTTCATCGAAAATATTTTTAAACAGTTCGAGAAAGGAGCACGTTGAATCGTAGAGATTAAAATAGTTTTTTCTTCGTTCCTTTCGAGCGACCATCGTTTTAGAGAGACTATTTCGACGTTATCGCATTAACGCGAGATATATATCTATATTATATACATATGTATGTGTATATATATATACATATATATATATATATATATATATACATACATACGTAGAAACACAAAATAAAAGGAAAGAAAAAATATAGGCTGCGTTCGTGAGATTAAAAATAACTGCCAACGTTAAAGAAACACTTGCCAATCAAAGTTCGCGTTACGGAAAACTTTACGTCAATATCGCGAACTTTCTTTCTTCTTCATTTCTTCCATTTCCTTTTCATCTTGTCCTTATAACCACTCGACGAGTCTCCAAGGATTTAACTTTGTTCACGGTGTTCAATTATGAAGGAAAGTATAAGATAAATGAGAAGAGAAAATATTCGCAAAAAGTAAGAATTATTTTTCGTCATAAGAACAGAGAAAAATAGTTATACATAGATACATATATACATATATATATATATATATATATATATACATATATATACATATATATAAAGATATCTATATATATATATATACGAGTACATATGTAATAGGTACATATGTATGTACTCTCTATAAATACAACCGTATGTCGATTATTCTGTCCAAACGTGTTATCATCAGGAAAGAAAATATCGGAACAGTTATAAATCAAAGAAACGGAGGAGAAAATAGTTCCGATTACGATTTCTAAACTACCTCAGGTGTAACTTTTAATTCGATCGATTCGTTATCCTGAATGAGAAAAGAAAGGAGATAATTTAAAAGTACATTTCCACGATCGAAGATTTAGCTGAAATTTATCGTTCTCTACTAAGAAATAACGAGTGGATATTGTCGGAAAATGATGAATTAATAATTAATGAAACTTAAAAGCATTCTGATAAACGTGTCGTTGTGTAATAGAAAGAGAGAAAAATAATATAATATAAAAATATACAAGAGAGAGAGAGAGAGAGAGAGAGAGAGAGAGAGAGAGAGAGAAAGAGTAGATATATATAAAAAGAACGAATGAAATAAGAGAAGCATAGAAACGTGCACCTATGCAGATGGATACGTAAATTCAGTACTTTAGGTGAAATCGAAAGTCGAACGAGGCTATAAGGGACGACTTGTATCAATATAACCTTGAAGAGATAATAATATTCTCATGGATGTGTGCGTGTGTTAATATTCAAATATACATACGTGCACGAATGTAGATTCGTTTTGGACACGATATGGTACGGCATGGTACGATACGGTACAATAAGCAGTTAGTTTCTTCGAGGAATACATATGAGTGAAGTATAAACGATAAACAAAGAAAAAGAAAAAGAAAAAAAAAAGAGAGAGAGAGAGAGAGAAAAGGAGAGATTAGAATAAAGAACGTGGAAAAAAGGTTTAGCAGAGATTTTTCAAAATAGTATAGAAAGCGAAAAGGATATGTGCCGGCGTAGAAAAACATCTAACGAGAAGTCGGCCGGTGAAGATAATGCCGATGGAGGAAGATGAGGTTAGAGCTAAGCAAAATAAAAGGGAAAAGAACGCAAAAAAAGGGAAACGGGAGAAAAAGAAACGACGGGAAATTACGGTGAGGAAGAAGCGATCCAGCCATGTCATGGGAGTCTATTTCGTCCAGGGATTACCTTGGGTAAGTTTCTATGCATGTGTGAGTATAGCAAAGATCAGTAATTTCCCCTATATATCTTTATATGTAATATGTCGATATATACATAGGTATATACGTATATATATATATACATGTATGTATAATCTCCATGTTGTTCTACAAATAGCTATAGATCCCTCTTCGATATCTTTCAAATTCTAAACTATCGAGTTATTCCGTATCGACCATCGAACTCAAAAGTTTCATGTTTGTTTCGAATGTATCCTTTCAATTAACGATAAAATTGTCGCCTGTTAATTAAATGAATTTTACGAATGAGCGTGTGTCACGTTTTATGCAATAAAGTTAGCGCGAATCTATCGATTGGATTAATTTTCGTGCTACTTGGTTCGACTCGAATCGTCCGTATATATTTTTGAATTGGAATAATAATCGATGATACGTTTTGACGTAATCGCTAGTCCTCGAAATCAATCGAGAAGCTATAATGGAATAAATACGAGAGAGAGAGAGAGAGAGAGAGAGAGAGATAAAGAGAGAAAGAGGAAAGTCCTTGAAACTGGCAAAGCGTAATAAATAAAGTAGCGTAAAATCGTGCAAGTTCTCCTTGTACTATACATATACGAAGGTTAGATACGTGTGACGCTTAGAACAATGAAGGCCGTCGGAAATGCGCAAGAGAAGATACGATGCGCTTGACATTCCATCGAAGAGTTTTCCACGCTATAATGGAAATTCTACGATGGAGTAGCGTAGCGAACGCTCGGAACACCGATGTTTAGTCGACCGAGATACCCGTCCACGTTCCGATTTTTTTTTTCTTTTTCTTTTTTTTTTTTATTCTCTTTTTTTTCCTTTTTCCCATCGATGCGACAACTTTCGGGAATAAATGCCAAAGATACTTTTTATTTCGTCATTTGCATTGTTTTTCTTTATAGTTAACGATCTTCTAATCGACATGGAAAAAAGAAAAATCAGTTAATACAATATAACCAGATATTTGTTCGTAGTTGCTAATGTAAAAATTCATACATTTATCTTACGTATTTACGTATAATCTTTTCAATGTTAGTTTCATTATACAAGCTATACCGAGTCAAGGGAAACTTTTGAAAAAAATTCTTAGAAAGAAGAAAACACGTAGATATATGTGAAACATTATATACATGAAGAAAAAGAGATACTGTTGGTGCTTCGTCAGACTTGGCTTACACATAGATATGCAGAAACGCGAGTGAAACGATTGCAGAACGCTGCAAGCGGAAATAGCAGCAACGACGACGGCGGTGTATCGCACGGTGCAGCAAAATGTACCTCTCTCTTTCTCTCTCTTTGTCTATTGCTTTCCCACCACATTTACTAGGTGGGCGAGGCACCTGCGACCTCTTTCGTTGACCTATATACCGATGCACCGCCCGTATTCCCAGTCGACGCGCACCGCGATTGCTAACAAGAAAATTCAATCGTCGTGGTCCTTATTTCGTACGTGAAGAGAAATTAGAATTAGTTCTAAGTAAGATTAGGACTGCTCGAACGAGACGATACGTTTCAGCCATTATATATGCTTAACTATTAATACGTGTACGTATTATATCTAATATATATATATATATATATATATATATATATATATTAATATGTATTGTTTATTGAATAAATTATACCTATTGCTTCAACAACATACGCTTTTACAAGTACACAACTATTAATTATTCGTGTAAGCGCGACACGCATAAATTTCAAATTGCGTTCGAGCGTACCAAGCGTTGTTATTTAGCAGTGCGTAATCTGTTTGACAAACGTGGTCAGATTTGACGTAAACGTGGCCTTCGTGATAGGAGCGATAATTCGCCATCTCTCTCTCTCTCTCTCTCTCTCTCTCTCGCTATCTTTCATACACGCACGTACACATATACAAGTCCTTTCAACCCCATACTATAAAACCAGCAATAACTCGTTCGATATTAATTTGGTTAACGTCGTCGCTTCGACGATAACGCGTTCACGATATCGCGCCAGTCTTTATACGAGTTATGTTATTTCACAATCACATAAAAGTTGAAGTATAAATGTGATTTTAGCTTTACTCTCGACTCCTCGAAAGAAAATAAAAGAAGAAGATTATTCTTGGCAATCTGTAATTGACGTTTTTCCTTTTCAAGAAACGTTGTTTCGCTTTATTACAAGAACGTTAAGAAAATTAATAGAGTCTTTCATCAAGGACTCGTATGATTTACATACGTGTATGTGTGTGTATTTCTCGTATGAATAGAAAGAAGAGCAGACGTGCGTCAGCGAACGAAGCGAGGACTGGCGAGCGTAGCTTCTAACGAGGATTTTATCGTGAACAATAGAAACTCGAGCAAGTAATGATACAAACGAGAAGATTTCAAAGGGGATTGCGTTTTGAAATGAGCTGTCAGAACTGGTGATGTATATGTAAAACTGGTATATGGATACGTATTGCAGGGGGTTAAGTACTTAATAAAGCAAATCATAATGACGTGATTTCAACATTTAAATTTCCTTAATATTGTCTTTTAACGAGACTCCCGTCGTATTTATCCAACTATACTAGAATTATAAAGTTCTTTTATAAAAAGAAATGTCTGATCAATCATTGCGACGTTGTATTCGTCGTAAGTGTCGTATCGACAGACTAATTATCGAGTTTCATCACTTTGATGGTTACGACACCACTAGTTTCGTAAGCTTCCGTAAGCTGTTTGTCTTTTGTAATAACGTTAGCAACAAGGTCGATCGTGATGACGTACGAGTCATATCGTCATCGATATATTATCTAAAATTCAAATTTGTCGTTTTCAAATCTCCTTTCATATTCGTACATTAATATCTGATATTTAATATCGCATATCGATTTATCTCCGTTGGTGGATGACTCCAATTCGTGTTGAGGAAAAAAAAGAAGTAAAATAAAAGAAATAATCAATATTTGCCATGCTTGCAAACGATTCTTGTTGTCATCGTCATTGTCCACGAATATGCAAGCAATTCTGCTCGCGTAAGATAAATTTCGATAGGATGACCCGCATTGGTCGCATTGCAGTACGGGATGTGTTCTCGAGGTAGGTAAAGGGGTAGTAGGTGCGATTCCGGAGAATGTACAACCTCCATGATGTAGAGTTTGCTAACTCAAACTCTGGGACTCTGGCCAAGAGCGCTTTATCTCATGCCGGAGCTTCCGTTCATCCTGGAAATAAATTAAGGAGCCACGTCAGACATAGGAGTAGGTGTCAGCTTAACGCCACCACCACTGCCATTCCCTTTCTCTACTCCCTCTTTCTCCTCCACCCCTGACCATCACCGTCAGCATCGTCGTCGTCGTCGTCGTCGTCGTCGTCGTCGTCGTTAACCTTTCGACGGTGATTACATTTTTCGATGACTTTAATGAGGTCATATGTCGTTAACGTTATTCTTATCTCTAGTTAAGCTCACGTCGCGGTCTTCACGTTGAATCCCATTTTTCATCCATCGAATATATTTTATCTCTTATCACCCGTTAGAACGTTATCACTTTCTCAATGAATTTAATTAGACTGAATTAGAGATAACATAGTTGATCCCTTTGTAGTGCCTGAGTAATTCGAATTTCCGCGAAAAAAATATATGGAAATTTGAAACGTGCCGTCACCTTTCAACGTAATTGTATTTCGCTGAACGAATATAGTGTCTTTTCAGATCTCTTTCCGTGACGCGAACACGTCACTCTTGTCGTCGGCACAACGTTGATAAATCCAGAATTTTTCAAACGGAGAACTACCGTCTAGCTAAAAAATATGTAGATATAGTCCACCTTATAGTTATATCTATGTAGGTATAAAGTTACATTTAAATCCCTCATAAATATGCATCCCTTTGAAATGTAAAAAAGGGCTCGAAATAGCGAAACGAACGGCGTTAGCTACGAAAGAAAGGATAACCATTCACTGCTATAGCTTACGAGCTTCTGTGCTCAACTGCCTATGTACTGGAGCAAATATTTACCATCGCACCGATACTTCGGCAAAGTTCGATAGAGAACAAATATTGGGCGTTTCGAAACGAGAGAAAACAAGAGGGAAAGAGAGAGTGAGCGAGTGGGAGTATATATGTACGCGAAAAAGCACGAATGACCGAGTTAAATCATTTTTCCATTTCATTATCCGACATGATCATTCTCTAAGTAAAGGATGCCATTTTGTTTATTCCTCAACAACGCTTTCAGCTTATAGTACATGTCATTTCAAGCGTATTCGGTTTCGCGTGCAAAGCATATCGAGTGTGTGTCGAGAAGTGCACGCTCGACGAGATCGAGGATACAATTGAGCTTTCACAAAAGGTCGAGCCCAACGGTATACTGCTAGACGTATACACAAATATCTTTTCTTTCATTTTCATTATTTCAAAGGAATTCTCGTAACGAAGTTAATAATCTCGTTTTCTTTTCGCGTCGTCATCCACGAGTTACTACATACGATAAACTCGATTCTTTCATACGCTTCAAAAGTGATACTCGTTTACGAAGAAAAAGAAAATTGGTGATGACGATATACAAAAATTTTGTATAATCACTATCTTTCGATCGATGTTATATACATACACACCTATAGATCTTAGATGGAATATACTTTGAAATAGAAAAACAAAAATTATAAAAAATGTTGCAGTGGATCGGCGAGTCATCAGCTGTCGGCGACCGCCTTGCTGGGTAGCCCAGATGGCTCGAGACATCCTCTCGATGTATGTGAATTCACGGAGGAGGATTATCGGCATCAAAATGGCAGTGGGAATAGTCATTACCAGCATAGCAGGCCAGGTACAGGTTTATGGGAGTGTCTCGTAGGTTGCAGACGGCGACTAGACCAGCAATTGGCTCGTCGAAGGGTGAGTCATTGAAGTGTTTCATTAAAAAATAATTCAAATTTTACACTTCCACGTAGAAAAAGAAGAAGCGAATTGCTGTTAAAGCAAATATCGTGTGAATTGTGCGACGCGATAAAGCATAATCAAGAAAGAGAGAGAGAGAGAGAGAGAGAGAGAGAGAGAGAGAGAGAGAGAGAGAGAGAGAGAGAGAGAGAGAGAGAGAGAGAGTTCACATAGATAGTACATGACTTTCACTTTCGCGAATCGGCACGCTTCTTCGCTTTTGTTACAAGGCGTACCGCGTACTACACTTATCTCCTTGAGTGTATTGCCACGACTTTATCGGTCACTATCAAGTTCACAACCAAGCCACGAAAGGAATTAGAGTCACGCTATCCTTTCATAAGCGCTGAAACAGAAACGATCGTCGACCGTCGACACGTCGCACAATACCTAAATACATATAGTATCTATGTATATATACACACACACATATATATATTATATCAAGTTCCCCGGACTTATCGATTCTTTTATTTTCTTCAAACGGCAATATTTCTCTGTATCCGTCGTAGCGAGAAATACACTTTACTACTACGGTAGAATTGATTTTCGTTTAAGTTATCGCGACATCTTAGCGATGTCGTTTTCAGACATGGAAAATCTTTAAAACACACACATGTAAACACACATACGCCTTAAATGGCTCTTATGAGATGTACAAGCGTGTAAGGCAGACGTTTCCGAAGAAACTCACTCTATCTTTTCTTATTTCTTTCTACGCGTACAATCGTTCAAACACACACGCGCACGCGCGCGCATGTTCATGTTTAGTGGTGCAATTTCAAGCTTCAGCGGATAACAACTTGGAAGCGAAAGCATTTTGAAAGAGTGCACTCGGTATGTCTTACGTTTCTGACAAAATAATTATAGAAAATGTTCGTTATTAGCGTTTAAGTGCAACTACACATACAAACTCAGCAAAATTATAAGAAAATATATGATCTACGCATAATCGTTTCCATGAAAAAAAAAAAAAAAAAAAAAAAAAGGTACATCTTTAATGGTACATCGAAACTATTAACATTTTTTTCCTCGAGGTTACTCGATTATCGTTTAAAGTCAATCTATATTTAATATCAACTCACTTCCTAGTACGCTCGATTATTTTCCAAAGATCAAAGCAAAATGTTAATCGCTCGTGGAACACGCGCTTCGACAATAATGTCAAGTGGACGCACCGGTGTAACATCAATTTAGATGTTCTTACCCATAAGCGTTCTATTTATATTTCATCAGATCGCTCAATCCGCCAGGGACAAAGTTCAGGGTCGGATCGATAAGCATTTTCTCTCGTTTCAGCCCTTATCCGACCTGTCGTTACACAAATACTCAAACACACATAGACGCGCGCGCCTATCCACGCGTGCCAACTCGCCACCCCTGAGATTTCTCGTGCGTGATAATGATCCAAGAACATGCTGCATGTATTCGGAACGTTCTCTTTCTCGTTTATCATGTATATACATTATTATTTTTTACTCCTTGTCCTTTACTCTCCAAGGACTTTCGAGGGAAAATATGGCCTTTGAGAGAAGAACCCTAAAAATTTATACACCAATAAAAACAAGAAAATTAAAGATTAGAGATAAATATTTCATATGCTGCAGGTAGAGCAAGGATTAAAATTGTATCGAGCACACAAACAACAGGCGGCCGTACGAAAATGGAGAGGCGCATTGAAGAGTATCCGGCAACGCGAGGACAAATTCGCGCTTCTGGGGTATCTTTATCAAGCCTACATGGATTGGGGAAAGTACAGGTAAACGAAATCGAAAATTCGTATTTCCTAGGGAAATGAAATTTAAGATAATTTCGCGATAATCTATTTCGTTGGCATTATATCCCGATACAAAGCAGCCACGCTAAATGAAGAGCGATTCGAGTGCTCATGGATACCTCATTTGCATCGTATAATTAATACGGTGTATACTTATTAAGTTCTTATATACGGTATATACTTATTAAGTTCATACACTCTCTAAGTATTCATTTAATATTCAGTGAAAACGTACAAGTTCCAATCGTAACGTTGACAGTTCGATGCAAGTATATAATAAATGTCTTTTTTAAATCATCGGTTTGCATAAAAAAAAATATTAATAAAACTTAATGTTAATATTCCTTTAGAAAAGCTCCAAGATCCATCGTATTTTAATTAAGAGAAAACCGATTAACGTAAAGAAACAACACCTGATCGTCTTAACGTTTAAAATTTTTCTACGAAGGATGCTTTTGCAATGAACGTTTTAAAAGCAACCGAAGAGCTTTTTTACCGTTGTGCTTGCGATGCGGTCCAGCTGTTTTCCAAGAAATTATATAGGTCAGTGTGTCAACGTGCCAATATACCGTAGTACGTGGTATGGATCGTAGAAAGGATTTCCACTAAATCTAAGCATCAAAAGAATGTGTATGAGATTCGATTGGTACGATTAATATTTTTTTTAATGGAATAAGTCAACGTGTAATCAGACGCAAAACGACTTGTCATAGATCGAACCGGGGTCGTGGCATTCAATGCACGTGATATTACTTACATGCATACACGGATTCGAACATGCATGAGGAAATCAAACCAAGCCACGCATCCCTGCGAACATGCGGAAAATCTCGCACGATAAGACACGTTGGACTCTCTTAGACTATAGACATTGAAAACCACAGATACCTATTGGAAAATACCCTCGAGCATTGTACATACTGAACGAGAGGGAGAGAGAAAGAGAGAGAGAGAGAGAGAGAGAGAGACCTAGTACTACACATTACTAACATCACCACTTTACCAAGGGTACACTCACATACAATGCAACCATATATAGGAAGATATAACTCTCTTACGATGTGTTGGAATCTTTTGTTCATAATAGGAGAAAATTCTCTTTCCATCCACCTTATTACGATCAAGACACGTATCGCCATTGCAATGCGACAAAAGATAGCACCTAGGAAGAAGTTGGAATTCTACGATGTTTTCTTTCAATACTTTTTACCCATTGCTTCTGAATTTAAACATTTTTTCTAGAAGACTTTTTTTTTAAAGAACTCGTACGTATCCACGAACTTTTCCATCTCTTCTCTCTCACGTTTTTGCTCCCCATCTCGCGTCCATCGTTAAAGTAAGAGACGGAAACTCGTCGGAAAGAACTTAATAAAGAGATCGTCGGGACGAGATAGCATTTATTTCACGAGCCGACAGAAAATCCGGCTGGCAAGAGCCGTACTCGGAGTATCCTTGACACAATAACGTCCTTTTTCAACCCTCCTCGTTTCCACTCCTTTTCACTATCTCTATCTCTATCGCTGTGTATCTCACTATCTTTTTCTCTCTTTCGGTGTATATACTCATATCTATTCATAAATGCGGACTGCAAAGTTTACGCGACCTGTTACGAATCCGCATTTGTCCTTTCTCTTCGTTCTCCTTACACTTACTTGTCATTGGATTGGCCGAGAAGGATCTACTAGTATTGTTACTTCTCCTATCTTTACCATCATCTGGTATCGGTCTGGTGCGAGCAACGTGGATAAATTTAGAATCATCCAAGTGGGTTTATTCCAATAATCGTGCTCGACGTAGCCGTAAGGATTAATAGTGGAAAATTGAAACTTCTACCCGAATGAAAATTAACATTTAAATCTCGGCTCCTTCGTATATTTAATTTTAACGAGAGAGAGAGAGAGAGAGAGAGAGAGATATCATTCTTGTAATTAATTCGAAATAATCGTTCTACGGCCAAGATTTTATATAAAAAAAAATCATAAACCTGTTATATTATAATCTATTTATTGATTATTATTCGTTTTTCCATTTACAGGGACAGTATCGACTTTGGTCAGAGACAGCTTTGTATCTCGGAAGAATTGGACTCGCCTAATATGCGAGCGGAAGCGTATTTGAACTTGGCCAGAGCTCATGAGAGATTAGGTGCTTTGGACAGAGCCTTGGATTATGCCAGACACAGGTCCAATATTCTACTTTGTTCTCGAAATACAACAATGTCAATGATGTCGTATAGTTAATTGAAATCAATAATTACACTTTTCCATGATGACAAATTTCCAAACCTTCTGATAGACATCATAAAACATACCTTTACGCGGGATACTCTCGATGAAACGAGAACTCACACCATCTCTTTCTCTCTCTTTCTCTCTTTGAATATTCGATAAACTCTGATCGTATTTAAACGTTCCCGTTCAAGCGAGAATATCCCATAGAATCGTCGATACAAAACAAATAGTTGTGACTCTACGTCATTTCGCAGCTTGTATAACGAGTGCGATCAGTGCGCCACTGCTGGATTAGTTCACTTAACCGTAGGCAGAGTCCACTTAGAACTAGCAGGATTCTGTAAAGCCTTGGAGGCCTTTCAAAGAGCTCACAAAATCGCCCACTCCATTCAAGATCCTTCCTTAGAGTTACAGGTAATTAGACAATCGCTCTCTCTCTCTCTCTCTCTCTCTCTCTCTCTCTCTTTCTTTTTCTTTATTTTTATCTCTTTTTTATTTAACTATCTATCTCTTTTTCTCTTTTTTTTAATCACCATATATATATATATATATATATATATATATATATATCCTCCCTACACTGAACCAATTATATCTTATTTTCGTCTTGATCGTAACATAAAAATCGTCTGTTCATTCTCATTGATTTTCTTCTTTATAGAATGTATCTGGCATAATCGACGAAACGTAAATCATTGACAAAAATCTTCTTCCCTACAAAATTCCATTGGAATGTCTTTTGGTCTCCGGCAAGAATTTTATCCGCCATTACGAGCTCTTTCTTTTTTATTTTAGATGCATCAAAGTTGGACATTTTTTTGAAGCGACGCAGAACTAGAATCAGCGCATATAATGATACCTATTGTCATTTTGCCGATTCTATCAGTAATATGTTCTGCTTTGAAAATATATAACGTAAAACGATAAGAACGCGTGTTAGGCTAAACACTTGAAAGACAAGAACCACAGCTCGTTCTCCGTTCTTTGCATAGGTATATGTCGGGCTATCGGAACTCTTCTGCAGATTACAGGATGCCGACAAGAGCGCGAGATATGCCGCGAGAGCGTACGATCTCTCGCGAAGCTTACAGCTTGGTGATCTAAATTCGCGACATCACAGAGCTGCTCTCCTTCAGATGGCCGCGGCCCTGAGGAAGAAAGGAGAACTGGGTGATGCTCATGACTATTGTTCGGTAAAGCATACTCCACCTAAATTATTTCTTATTTATCATTTCGAACTAACTAGCCATCCAGTACCTACATGCACAATCAAATTGAGGATTCGACCTAACGTTTGCGTAGGAAGCAACGCGATTGTCGCTCGTTTCAGGCGACCAAGCTAGCTATGCTCGAAGTATACGAATAATGGGGGATATTTATCGAAAGAAATCCGACATAAATGTGAGTTGAAGCTATTTCGCTCGTTTTTCTCACTTCCCCGTATTATACGCTCGTGCTCTTGGCCATCTATACGCTTCGCATGATTCCGCTTCCTTCATATGTGTACGTGCCTGTGGAAACTTTCGACAACTCTCGTTTTAACCTTTTAATTTCCTATTAAGGAGATTTAGTCGCGAAAAAAGATATCTGTCGAATTATTTGTGATAACTCAGCCCTGCGACGTTCCCTCGTATTTATTCCTTAAAACGTGTCAATGCCAAAGAAAGTTTCCTGTCGTCGAGATATAGTCGACTTCGCGAAAGACTCGATGTCATTTGCGAAAAAAAATTCTCTTTCACGATTCGCAAATGCGTCGTCGCAGCATGTCGCATCGGCTTTCGCAGCTTTGGCACCGAAACGGGCTCAGTTTTGGACGAACGCCGGATCTCTTCTATTCTAATAATTACGAGGAAGATTACCGAGCGTGAATTTCAGAATTAAAAAGAGTCTACCCGCTCGTCGCTGCCAATCACGTTCTTTTGGAACAAATATAATGATTGATTAATTCAATCATTTCGATCAGATTATTTTCACGATTAAAGTAAATTATACGTCGATGAGAAAATTTATTTGACGAAAATTAAAAATGTTAAGACCGAGCTCGTTTAAAGTCGCGCGTGAACTCCGACGAATTCGACTCTGTCTTTCAGTTGGCGATCGCCGAACCGCACATACAATTAGCCTTTAGTTGACACATTGCGTGCATTGCACCGGAAGTAGAGCGATAACACCGGTGAGATGAAGATGGACGTATTGCAGAAGGCGTTTCGCCAGTACGAAAGCGCCATGGGATCTGCCGCTGCGACTGGTGATCGACTTTGCCAAATGGAAGCGATGGATGGAGTGGCTAGGTGCTTCGAGGCTCTCAGATTGCAGCACAAGATATGCAACTGCCGGCCCCTTGAATTCAATACCCGCCTTCTGGAAGTAGCTGGATCCGTCGGTGCTAAGGTACGAACGATATTGGATCCTTTCTCTTCTCTCTTTTCCCCTTCCATCACTTTTCTCAATCTCCAGCTCCGGTCTCCAACTTCAAATCATTATTCTTTAGCTATTCGACGTAGCTCGTCCCTCGTACGATTCACACTCGTACTCTACTCAGAGTGGGCCTTATATAAATATAGTAGGTATTTACGTAGGAAAAAGGCACAGTAGAGCTCTCACGTTATTTGCAGCTCTTAGTGAGGACCGTCAGATCGAGGCTATCGCGGATTTACGGTTCCTTGGGGGATGAAGAACAAAAAGGACATCACGAGAGACTCGCCGCCACTATGGAAGAAGATTTAGAATTACGGTGCGGTGGTTGCAATGAACCGTTCGGGTTGGAAGCCGATTCCCTCGAGGCATTACCTTGTTCTCACATATTACACGCCAGGTAAGGCGTTCCTATGTCGTCTAAAATCTCTCTTTGCTAGCTACATCGCACTCGTGTCCATCTACGAGCAAACTTTTTCCTTTAACATTTTTCCCTCCCCTTTTGTACCTCTATCAATCTCTATCTATCTATTTCTATTAAGACGTTTGAAAAACTAGTACGACTACTAACAGAGAAAAATACTTGTACGTCCAATGATGAACTTGTTCTCCTCTTCTTCTTCCTTTCTTCTTTTTTTTCTTCTAGATGCGCTTACGACATACTGAAAAGGCGCGACAAAAAGAAGAAACGTCTCTGTCCGGATTGTCATAAATCTGTCAGCTCACGATTGTACCTGCATTGCGAGGATCCACACGGCATGAATACTTTAAATCATAGTTCCTTGAGTCTGGCGTCTCTGAGGGCCAGCAGCCTAGCGACACTGGAGGATTGTCACGCCACGAGTAGCGTCTAAAAAAGGCCCGACGTTTATTCGTATATTCGTTCGATCGTTCGATCGCGTATAAATATGTGCCACGATCGTGCACCAATCTATCTAACTATTTAAAAAAGAAAAGAGAAAATAGAAAAAAGAAAAAAAAAAAAAAAAGAAAAAAAGAAATCCTCGAAAGTTCGAGAGAGAGGCTCATCATAACGAGAACGGCGTAGGAAAGGAAAATTAGTATTGATGAATTGGGAATAGAAAGAATGCTCGAATCGATTGTGAATTGTTATCTTCTCCCTAATTATTATCAATAGCTGTGTACAGAATAAAATTTAAATCCTACGAAATGTTCGAATAGCGTTTCAATTTCGAACGGGAAGGATTGATTTCTTAGCTGCGCGATATTACAAATCTATATGTAGCCGTTATCTCTATTTCTATCACTATTCCTTTTTTCCTTTCTTTCTCAAATATGTTTCTACCTTATGTCTGTATCTCTTTTTGTCCTCGTCATTTGTAATTTAGAAATAGAATACATAATTCGTTTGTTATTCAGCTTAGTTCGAAATATTCTGTCGCCGTTAAATGTTGTTGACGAGAAGATCTGATGAGAGAACGCCATACTCGTTGAGTCCTTCCAAAATCGAAAGACTATTATTTTTAACCCGTCCCTACATACATTCCTAAGAATGAAATTCTACTGAGATTAGTTTTTAATAGAGCGGATCGCATACGCACGAACTTAATAGACATATATATATATATATATATACATATATATGTATGTATGTATATATATATATATATATATATATATATATATACGTGTGTATATATAATATTTAAAAATTGTTACATCTTATAAAGAATGCTATAACTTAATTAACAACTGTTGATTATAAATCTTTGATTAGTGACGTGGCAAGAATATAACATTTATGCGAATCTATCCGTATTGATCTTAAAAAATGATGATCGCTAGACCTCGACGGAAGAAGATTCATATTACGATTTATCGTTTGACAATCTTCCTGATTAAAGAATAAAGTTTAACGTAAAACTGTATGTGCACGTCGTAAAAGATTGATTTTAAATAAAATTATCCAATTAATTACAATGTCCTTTAACTTAGATAATAATTCCATATCTTGCATTTCCATTCAACTTATTCATTCAAAGTACGGTCGAATATCATTGACGATCTTTCGATCAGACGCATGATTTACGGACGAAGCCTGACATTGACACATTTCTGCAAAGATACAATGTTACCGAATTAAATTTGACAAGCTTTCTCCCACATTCATCATTACGTTGTTAGCCCTGATTGCCTAAAAACATATCGCTAGGGTTTTTTTGCTGATAAAATTTTGGTAACACTGACCCGATAGACGACAAAGAGGCAAACATAGAAGGACCATCGTCTCTTTCATTTTATTCAAAGCCATATGCGTGTATGTAAATGTGTGTGAATATATATATATATATATATATATATATATATATATATATATCATAATATGAAGATACACATATAGGTACACGTACAATTTATGTGCAAATGATTCGATCGAACTATTGGATAAAACTTACGAGTTAAATATATGATATTATTTTTTATTTGTTTTATTTACACGTTTAACAGTCATTAACAGATGACAAATGACCATTAAAATTGTCACAGATACAACGTACGTGCTTATTTTGTACGACATTAAATCGTTGCAATGAAGACTCGGCCAATCACATTTTGCTAAGAGGGGACAGAATATAGTTCTTCTGCATTTGCCGCTTTATAGTCTAGAATTTGACGATTCAACGATGAAGAAGATAGCAACCCATTCTATATTTAGATATATGTATGTATGTACTACCTAATTGGAGGGCTCTGTTCAAAAAAAAAAAAAAAAGAAAAAGAAAAAGAAAAAAAGGATCAGATTACAAAGGTTTACCACAGCATAGAATAAAATTATTTCTCAAGAATACTAATAGGTCTTCGACTTTTAGAAACTTCTTTATTCCGAATCGCATATTTTTCATTATATGATCATCTTGATAATAATATACTCGAGGACGAATATAGCAATAAAAGTGTGCGATCGAAAATCAATGCAATTATAACCAATGTAATAGTTTAAGCTCCATTAAAAATTACATCAAGTTGAATTTATGCTACAAAATATTTACATATCGATGTATTTGTAAACATAGATTTCGTGCAGGTACTCCTTTAAGCGATAAACACAACAATTTAATAATCTTTATAAATATTCTAATGGTCAAATTTCAATGTATTGCCAATTCATAAATTTAAATTAAAATATATAGCCATACCAACCATGCAAAACTTAGTACCTAACTTTCTGGTACATACATACGTACATAAATCTATGATCGACCCATAGTCAAATATGTCGCACCTAAGTAGTTAATTAACTTATAGAATGACTGAATCTCATATTTACATATCCGATTAATATCATTGTGCATAAATGGACAAGATATATTTTAATATACTAATATCAAGCAGTTTTTGTGCTATGTGCAAATACTTATTTTGCAATTTCTAAACACATGATTTACAAAGTATTATCAATTAATAAAAAAAATTCAATGATAGCGTGTCAATGAATGAAACACTTTGTAAAGTAATTATTTTCGGTAAATTTTCAGCATAATAATTTTTATGAAGCTCATGCTTGATTTTCTTAATTGCTATGTCAAAGCTTAATATTTTTCTCTGTGTTACATGGCTTGTAAATGGTTTTTTTTCTTTTTTTTTTTTTTTCCTTTTTTCTTTTTTTTTCTTTTTTTTTCTTTTTTTTTTCTTTTTTTTTTTTTTTATACTTTATATAAAGAAAAAAAGAGTAAAAGACGAATACACATAAAATCACATCAATTGTGTATGCTTGCATTGATTGTCCATGTATATAAATATTATACATTCTCGTTTCAAAGAATGATATATATATATGCAAACGATAGAACAAATTTACGTGACAATTTACACGAAATTTTTCTATCTATAGAACATTGAAAATATCCCTTATGTATTTCAATAATTTAATAAATACACATTGCACTGTATCTTAGATGCACTAAATTGTTTTTACTTTCGAAGCGTTACGCATTAAATATCAATGAAGAAATAAGAAAAAATTCATGTATCGTGCGACAAACCACCACATGTAATTATTAGATTTTATGATATTTCTGATTTTTTAGTATATTCATCTCCTTTTCTGATTTCCTGACATCTAATTCTATTGTGTGTGTACAATATATGTATCTGCATTTTAGTAACATACCGGTATTAAGTATAAAATCTTATTTACTTTTTAAAAGAAAATTTCTCTGTACATATCTTTCAGGCGGAATTTCAATTCAGCCTTTTAGTTTCACTTATTCGTACATATAGAGATTTTACATATACATTGATATCGTGTTTCTCTCATTAGAAGCAAGTAACATTTTTGGTACTATGTTTTATAGGTGAACTTGTTCCATCTCCTTCACCAAGATCCATACCAAATGGCACTGAATTCCAAATGGCTTTGTCGCTACGATCCTCTTCCTCGCTAAGAATATTACACATCATCCGATCGTCATAGAGCGAAAATCTAGCTGTCGATTGTGCACGACCACGAATCTTTCTTACGGAAGGAGGTAAATCTCCTGGAGTTTTTATTCTCATATGCGGATCTTTCAATACGTTTACATTAGATCTAACATTAAAGACTTCGTTGAATTTGTCAATACTTTCTTGCCTGCTAAGATTGCTCTCACCTTTCTTATTTTTCAAATTAACTAATGGTAAAGTCGACGGCCGAGCATTAGTTGTCGTACCATCATTATCATACGCGTGTTTTCCAATTTGTACTACATTCTTATCATTTTTGACTATTGGCGTAGTCGAAGTAGACGTCTTACCAATAATTCCATTAACGTATTTCCCACCGGGAGAAATGGTCACGTTAGTGTCCACAGTTTTAATTTGTACATTTTGCTTCGACAATAAGTTGGATTTAGAATCTTCCCTGTCTATCGGATATTTATTATACGGGTGCATCTTCTTATTGACGAGTAATTTTTTTAAATTGGGCCAACCACCGAAAATCTTTTTCCGCGGACTTTCTTGAAGAAAATTATCGTGAACATTGGTTTGCTTTCGTTTATTGTACGACGTACCGCCATCCTCGGTTATGACATTTTGAACGTATGGTATCGGTGTCGCTGGTCTAAGTTGCGCCAACTGAGTCGTATGCTGACCCAAGTAATCGTGCGATACGAGACCTTGCGCCTCTGTCACGACTTTGTATTGATCATTGCACGTATGCTTCAAAGATTTATCAACTAAAACATTACCATTACATCCCAGATCCTCTAAGGAGTCAGACTGTAACATCAAATTTCTCTCCATACAAGGATTTCTACCTTGATAAGGTTGAAGAGTTTGTGTGTGATTATATACGGCTACTTCATTGGAGTTTTTAACTGAAATAAACAATAACGACATTACGTTACGTTCGATGTTACGCTCGAAAAAAATATCATTACTTACAACTATGTTCGTGGGCAACACTGTCAGATGGAGAAAGCGTAACCAAATTATCGACCATATTGCTTTCGTTCGTAGGCCCATCTTGACTCATGTGCATTGCAAGTTGAACAACATGAACATTATCGTGATGTGAAGTTTCGCTATAAAGGCTATTTGTGGTTGAAGGCACTAAGGCACAATGAGAGTTCACCATGGGGCTCCCATCGGTAAAATATGAAGTAACTGTTTAAAACAATTTTTAACAATTTTTAACAAAATGATTGATTATCCTATTAACAAAATGACGCGCATACTTACTACGATGAGATTGTAATTCCGAAAGACGTTCTTCTATACATAAAGCTGTCAAACGTGCTTCAGCATCTGCATCCCAACAATCTTCCATAGTTTCCTTGATAAGACGCACTCCTGGTCTATCGATTAAGTTCCCCTCTAAAAGGGGTCTAGCTTTTTTACGCGATACCAATACTTGCATCTGTTCAAACGTAGGATGCAATCCTAAAGGACGAAATGGAACGAATGTAAATAAAAATAATAGAGATGTATTTGAGAAAATTACGTCACGTGTTCGATCCATACAAACCAATTTCATTTTCATACGGTTGTTTATATTGAGGCACCTCTGATCCAGGAATGTAAATGTCGGAACACCTTGAAACCAATTCCCACAACACTAGGCCCATTGCATAAACATCTATTTGTTTGAGAGAACTTTCACAATCTCGTAGATTTACAGCACCCTCTAATACTTCCGGTGCCATATATCTCAAAGTACCCACCTGTTACAAATCAAGAAGAATATCAAGTGAATCAAATAACATCATTGGTTAATAATATTCAATTGTTTAATCATTCCCTTACGTCATTAATCGATTTTATCTCCGCATGTTGTTCTTCTCCATTAGAGTAATACTTAGATCCAGATATTTGCACTGTTAATCCTAAGTCACATATGCAACAATTTCCATCGGTTTTAATCAATATATTTCTCGAGTTGATATCTCTGTGTGCGATACAGGGCTTGAATTTATCTGCAACGTTCGGACTTACTTAGAGAATCGTAGAATACACTGTTGTACTTGGAGAATACACCGTCTCTGATTCGTTGAACCGGGATTCGACGAATTGCTCGGATCAACGAATTACCCAGAGTATCTGAGATTTTTCGTAATCTCATTAACATGATCATAACTAGGACCTTACAACTTTATATTTTCTATACAATTAGAAAACTATAGTATAACGTATCCGAAAAGGTATTCTAAGTATTCTACATCCAATAATATTTGCTTACCGCCTTTACGTATATCAGTATGTAAATATGCAAGTCCCTTAACTATGGAAAGACCCATTTTGCAGAATGTCATCCAGTCGACAGTATGCGTTTGTAAGAAGTCTGTTAAAGTACCACCCGGTGCAAAGCTTAATACTAAAAGATATTCTGTACTACCCTCCAGGCTTACTCTTTCGTCTACACCTGTATTTATAAATGTTCGGTATTGATTTTTTATACAGCCTGGTATATATCGATAAGAGACAAATTTTTTTTTTTTTTTTTTATCAAACTACAAATACTAACCATAATAGCTTAACAGAGATGGATGTTCCATAAAGGGCAAACAGTAAGTATCTCTTTCGTTTTGAAAATAATTACGATAATGAGAAGGAAATATTTTCACAGCAACATCTTGATCACCCATACTACCTTGCCAAACAGAACCATATCGTCCTTGTCCTAAAAAAAAAAAAAAAATTATAAATGTATCACATTACAAGTAGATTATATGAACCAATGATGATTATATGAACTGAACAACATACCCACAATTGTAGTCAATTTTAAATGATCAACCGTATAAGTACCAGTCCTTAATGCTGTGCTATCCATAAATTGATCATCATACGATATAGGTTTTCCTAATCTTGCTAATATATTGTTACAATAGATTCGATATATCAGCATAATTATTGTACATATCACCAATAAAGTGCAAACTAATGTGCTCATTATTATGAGCAACCATCTTTCTGAATCTGACTGTTCTAAATATTCTGTTGCTATAAAAAAAAAAAAAAAAAAAAAAAAAAAAAAACCACGTACATCATTAACAAACGAATATAATTTTTATATTAGGGTCAATATATACTTAAAAAAAAAAATTTCAATGCAAAATAGCCTTACTTGCAAGATTTTTCTGCACTGGTGCGGAATTAAATATCTTGTTATCAGAGTACAAAAGGTTATTATTTGTAATATTTAAATTACAATAATCTCCATGACAACAGCAAAACTTGGTATTATTTAAAGCCTTGGTAGAACGTTGTAATGCCACACATTCTGTGTTTTCACACTTTTGTTCACCAGATTGTTTCCAACAGCCTACCATTGCAAACAACAAAGATCCAATTACATGAATGGCCAATCAGAGAAGGGATATACAAAGAAATCATTGAATACCTTGTGATAAAATGATAATCTCTGTACCATTTGCAGTCTTATTTTCTTGCCACAATGCATGACAAAAATTATTACATATGTCAATTTTAATGTCATCATCTGCCTGTAAAATGTAATGCTAATATTTACAAACAATGGTATACGTCAATTATGCTTTACAAATATTCCATAATTAATAATTATTGATTATTTAATTTATCAATATCAATATATGATATCACTGATTATCATACCTATATAATCTATATCATTCTACATGCTCTTATTCTTCATAATTATGTGTGCTTATGTACATTTATTAATAGGAATTAACGCTATATCTATAAAATCTTATATTTCATATAATGTTACATTAACTGGACATTAATTGATCCACTTACTGAGATACGAACTACATTACTGTTATTGGGTACATCTTCAGACACCCCTGTTGAATTTTGTTTCAAGGAATTATGTTCATTATTTTTTTTTCTACTTGCACATATTCGAGTGGCATAAATGGGGGCTGAGCTTATCCCATACAGTAGTGTGACCAATACGATTGATACAATGGCTCTCATTGTGCTTTAGCAAGCCTCTTCAAGTTGGCCACTTCAGCAGAAGCAATGCTTCTTAAGAATTGGCATCTTTGACCATAGCGATATATAGTACTACCATAGGCACTCTTTGTTCATCTGTTTATCACATACATTTTTTAGTGTATACAAGTACATTATAAGCTTAACGTCATTATATGTAATTAAGGTAAAGTTATTAAACAACAATGGGAAAAAGAAAAAGAAAAAATAATACGTCATAATTATCTTGAAATATTATATGAATATTAATATAAATCCATATAAGATAGTAGCAAGATTATTAATATTAAATGTATAAAAGCATACTTCCTAAACAATTTAAAATATCCATAAACTATTTCACTTAGCAATAAAAAAATTTACAAGAGGAATTTTAAATATAAATTATATAATTTTGCCAGTAATGTAGCCCTTTATTATATTTAACATATGACGAATAAAAATTGGATTAAAAATGAAATAATTTTTGAATGTTATAAAAAATGCACATAAAAATCACGTTATAAATATTATAAATTATGTAGTTTGTACGAGATCTAAGTCTAAAGCGTATGACGATGTATAAAATCGACATTTTTATATAAAGGAAATAAAAATGAAAGAAATACAAATTTCGTATAATTCATTGTCTTAATGTGTTAAAATTATAATGCTTACATTTTGACCGATAATCTTTGTAAAATTTTCACGTGCGCTCTGTAAGTTCTTGACGCCGTCACTAAGGGCAACATCGCACGATTTCATAAAACTGCAACGATCCTTTGTGGAAAAATATTATGGTTGAAAACCTACAATTGACAGTCAAACAATATCCATTGAATCGCGATATAACCACGCGTTCATAAATGCGTAAAAATGATACTAACAAGCGAAACTCATAGGTAAGCAATGAGCTTCGCATTAAAGCTCCCGTTGTGTTTGTAGGAGTGCTACGCCATACGACATATAATACATACATAAAGAAAGCAACTTTATCAATCGACAGATAACGACGCTAGCGCTCTCTGTTATCGAAATTCTTGTACCAATCGAAACACTAGCACACCTATAGGTAACGATAAGAATTACATTGATTCTTTGAAATTCTATTTTTATCTATCGTACATTTGTAAATATTATGATCAACGGTGAAAGGTTATTTTTTTTAATCTTATTGTAACACCAGATGAAACCGTTTATAGATGATTATAAAGCGATCTAATGATTTTAATTAGAAGTCAACGTATAAGAACATTACAAATACGATGGCGTTTATGAACTAACGATTGACGTCATCTGCGTCCATCAGCCATTTTGAAAGCGATCGATGTGTATAATGCATATATATATATATATACATACATATGCATATGTGTATATATATACATATATATTTATGTATATAAAACTTGAACACACATACACTTTTATCTTTTATGATTTCAACCATCGAACGTTCGGTATGCTTACTAAAAGCACGGTTCATGGCCAGACATTTTAGTTTACGCGGTTTATGATGTACTAATAGAGGAACGCGCGAATTGGAACGCCGCGTCGTATCGTGTGTGTTTTCGACGTATCGTGCAAATGGCGGCTCTCGTGATGTTTTGTGAAATATTTCTGAGGTATTAGATATACGAATTTTATGCAATTTGCGATAATAAGTGGTATAGATACGTACTATTACTGTCGAAGTTTGAGACGATTTATTATAAACATGGTGAAATTGCTAAAGAAGTTCTTTCCCGGCGACAAAGTTTTTGCGAAAGTTCGAGGTTACCCGCCATGGCCAGCTAAAGTAAGTACTATCTAATTTATCTAAAGTGATTCGACGAACATTCGTGGTACATTATAGATAACGCAGTAGATATCATCATTTAATCAATAATACTTTTATATGCTAACATTATTGATAGCGTTATTTGTAAAAGAACTGATTAATATTTTAGTCCACTTAAAAATTATGTTTACATAAAATTCGTTCGAACGTATAAACGAAATGGAATCATTTTTTTTTATCAATACCATTAGGCCAATATATTTCGATCATTATATGATATGTTACATTCATAATGTATACTACTTTAATGAAAATAAATAATGAAATTATACGTACGTTACCATATAGATTTTTGTACCATGTGTTTTATTGATTCTATTTACAGGTTGAGAAAGTTGTAGACTCCAATTCTAAAAATGCTAAGTATAACGTATACTTTTATGGTACAGGTGAAACGTAAGTAAAAATAGAATTTTTTTTCTTTCACAATTTATGTAAAACAATTAATAATTATATAAAGTAAAATTCATAGTACTTATTTTTATATAAAAGATATAAAAGGTTATTGTTAAAGTTACTTCATTTTAGGGCTGTGTGTAAAGTAGAAGAGCTGTTTACCTATACTGAAAACAAAGCAAAGTTTGGTAATAAAGCTTTACGAAGAAAATTTTTTCATGAGGGCTTACAACAACTCGAGCAAGAACTTAAAAATGAAAGAAGTAAAGCTGGAGATATAGATGATCTACAAGGTAATTTATAATGTTACATGACGTAATATGCCTTAATACTTGAATTCTTTTATTCAAGATTATTTTAATGTTATAGAATCGGATATTGTAGAAGAAACTGGCACAAAAGGTAGCAATGTAGCATCAGGATTACCCACAGCTAGTGCAACGGATAGTGACTTGGAATCTGGATCTTTAATAATTGATGAAGGAAATAAAAAAAAATCTCTAAAGAGAAAACCTTTTTCTACATCATCTAATAATCCAGTAAGCTTTTATTTTTTTATTTCATTTCAATATTATTTGTATTATGGAGGCTTAGATTCCTGTGTATTCTTGTACGCAATATTGTTCACGATACGCAATTATTGAAATCATAAGTCTCCGATAGAGACTTAGGAATTGCCGACAAACATTTGTAAAGATTAAAGAGTTTGTGCGATTATTCCTTACATTGTATCATTTTTAAATTTATATGTTACATGAAGAAAACATGTTATAAAAAAATGTTGTAATTTATTTCACAAATGAATTAGGAAACTCCTGAATTAAAAAAGAAACGCGGGAAGGCAAAGGCATTGTCCACATCAACAAGTGACACATCGAAACAAGAATTAGCTCTTGATTCTCAAGGGGAGGAATCACCTAAAGAAATCGTAAGCCGCAGTGGACGAAAAATTAAACCAAAGCGTTTTGCTGATTTCTCAAGTTCTGAAGAAACAGAAGGTACTCATAAAAGTGATATTTATGTGGTTGATATTTTTAGTTTAGCAGTACATATGTGTGTGTATATATATATATATATATACATACAGACACACGCACACACATGTATGTATATTGCAGGAACTGTAATTTCAAATTATTTTCACAAATTTGACAAAGAAAAATATCGACCTGTGTATTATGTACTGTCTAGTCCATAATTTATTTAGGATAATATATGTCAATGAAATTAATTATTTAATTATAAACAATTAAACGCAAAAAAAAATATGTATATATATATATATATATATATATATATATATATATATATATCGAGAACACAATGTACAATATTTTCGTTTTAATCTTTAATCTGTTAATAATTCTAATGGTCAGTGAAGTAAATTTCTTGAGACGAATCTTAAATGAAAAGTTACAAATATGAGAATATGATTGATTATTACTTTGAACTTCTTCCATATTTTTCTTGAATATTTTAAATATTTTGTGGCCACCTTCATATTTGCTTAACCTGTTTTATTACTAACTTTTATAGTGGTTTGCTAGTGTAGAAAGCAAATCTTAGCAAATCATAAATTCTTATAAAGAAATAATGTTTAAAGGTTCGAGAAATGTGATCAATGTTTCAACTGTATCATGTTTAATGGTGGAAGAAGAAACCCAGACAATACCTTCAAATATAAATGAAATATATACAAGATTTGTGGAAACTGACGAAACTAGGAATTTATCGACAAAAGAATTGAAAAGATTGGTTCTTTTGGAACAATTATATTTAATTCGTATAAAAAAAGCTAAATTTTTGAAAAATAACTGTATTTCGTAATATTGTTTTACTTTAATAAAATTTCTATATAATTTTTTTTATATAGGTACTACTTATTTCCTACCTTTTGTCTATTGTACATTCTGTTCTCGATAGAATTCCTTTCGTCGTGTTATTTCAAATATCGTTTACAGATCTTGAATTAGTAGACAAAGTTAGAATCCGAGTTCGTTTTTACGTTGTATTATCGAAAATTTATGTACTGTTATAGGTAGACGCTATATGCGCATATCATAAAATTAAAAAAAGAATCCTCTTTATATGTATATTAAAGATTGATTCAATCAAGTGAAATTTCATTGTTATATAAAAATGAGTATGCGTAATAATATTATTAATAATATGATTTTCAATGTCTGTACGATAGAACATTCTGGCAGAGGACGCGGAAAAATTAAAAACGATGAGTCTAACGAGCACATATCGTCTGCCGGAACTTATAAGAAAAGAAATATCACCACGGAAAGTAAGTGTTAGAATATATATATTTAATTCGTATATTCATTTATACGTATTTATTTTATGTTAAAGAGAAAAATAGTATTGGCGAGACATCGCTTATGGAAGGTACTGTGGTTTCTAATCCTACATCTTCCGAAACACCAGGCCGATTTCTTCTTGCACGAACGTTTGCCGGTGAATACGTGGGCATTAAATTAGATGTAGACAGGCCAAAATCATTTGATAGCGAAAAAGCTAGAACGCAATGGGATTGGACTACGGCTCGAAATGCAATGAAGTTAAAAGGTCAACTAGAAAGCGGTGAAATTTTACCAGAGCAAGTCAAAGATTCATTAGATTTTAATGTATATGTGCCAGAAGATGAGAAACGTCTATTGGCGAAAGATGGTGCGATTCATCGAAAGACTTACAAGCTAAGGTAAATAAAAACAAAGAAAAACTGCCTCTTTTGTAACAAATAAATCCAATTATACGAGACTACGATTTATTTATATTTTTTTTATATTTAGATGGCTTCGTATAGAAGCGCAATTGTTACAATTGGATGCTCAAATAAAATCTAATCTTGGTTTGGATCGGGCTAATACTGACAAATGTTTAGAAGCGATGGATGAAATATTGTCCCTTTCTATTGATCCATTAATGTTAAAAAAGCATCCACATATTGTTGAAACTGTGAAAAGGGTAAATACTACATTTGTTTTAAGCTCAGTGCTAATAATTGTTTCGATTAGTTTACGCATTTTATCGATCGTTACAGTTAAGGCGGTACATTGGTAACTTAGCCGATTGGAAGTTGAGCAAAGAAGAAGAGGTAAATATATCGACATTAATTACGTATAATTAAATTAATTAATAATTTTTTAGATCAAATCACTTTCAATTAATTTTATAGGCCGTTTTCAAACAAAAGGCAGAACAAATAAGACAGAAAGCGGAGCACATATACAACAAATTTAAGGTAATTATATTTAAACAACTTAAATTTCATTTCATTTAGATATAAAAAAAAAAAAAAAAAAAGAAATAATAATGCGCGATATTGTATTAAAAAGGAAAATAATCTAAAAAAATTATGTAGGCCATGTTCACTATACCAGAGGGACAATCGTTTTGGCAATCATTTTCTGATCAAGTGGACCATTTCAAGGAATTAACGAAAGACATGCCCGAAGAAAAAGTTTTCTCCTTAATGTCTGATCCTACTTGTCCAGGTGATATTATTATTTAATTTTCCAATTGACGTGATTTTAAAGTTTATATAGGAAATAAAAGAGAATAGAAAAGGAAAAAAGTACATTATTATACTTATCGTTTTCAGATGCTGCTGGTATATCAGAGGATGCAACTGCTGATGATAGTGGCAGTCAAGTAGATACAGACGTTACAGTGAAAATAGAATCGGAACAAGTGCCTATCAGAATTGAAAGCCCTAAAGAAACAGAAACCAAGTAACATACATACGTTTCGTATGTAGTAAAAGGTGGACGTAGTTCACTATGTTTTGTGCGATACTATACTATACAAGACAGCAGAGTGTTTTTCAACTGATTAAGGGAGTGGCCTTTGCACGTTTGAAAATGATCTATGTGGATAAATTTTCTTACTGCAATAATTCTATGGGTTTTTCTGAAATTTCTAATGAATTCCCTTTGGCGTTATTATAATAATACTAAAAGAACGTGCACGTGTCAGAATATTTACAATTGCAGGTCGGCGATGTAAATGACACTCATGCTGCCAAAAAAAGTTTAATTGACACAAATTATACAAATTAGAAAAATCAACTTTCTATAATATGTAATTGTTTCTCTGCCTCTGTGAATGTAATTTATCTTTACATCGTTTTGATCGTACCAAAGCAGAACTTTCACAGTAATCATTCATAGTAAGACAGCGATCATCTTTACTTCATAACTATTGTTTCTTTCAAACTATCGATGTAAATACAGGAATACACAATTCATGTTATACATTAACACTATACTGACAGGCAATGAATAATTCAAAAGTAAAGTAATTGTACAATGCGTTCCATTGGAATGCCATCAATGTATTGACTTATTGCGAGAAACGATTTTTATCTTTTTGAAGTTCATGTTTCTATTGCACTTTAAAGGCAAAATTACATTGTCCGAGCAATAAGAAAATTCTGTTTTTCAGTATAACGCTGATGACATCTCGAAATATTTCTCGATATATTTTAAAGTCTGTTACTGGGCATTTTTACAAATAGTTATAGGTAAATGTTGGTTCATTAGTTGTAGAAATTATGAGCATACGTAGCAATAAATTTATGATTGATAGCAACGCGAAGTAACAGGAACATGTGAGTTATGGGTAAGTATTTTGAGTTTACTATATTGCTCTTATAACTCTAGAAATGAAGATACTTTACTCAAGTGAAATTAAATTGTTATACAATATAATTATACATATATAGATACATAGAAAAATGTTTCTCACTAAATCTCTTAAATCTGTTATTAAAGATTGCAATTGATTTCAAAAATGTTGAAAGTCGAAAGACATTTGTTAATTTACATCGTTCGATATAAGATTATTTTAATTTAAAATTATTTTCATAGGAGAGTAATGGTAAGCTCCTACATTATAATTTTTATTAATGATAATAGTATATACATAATGAAACATAAAATTGATTTAATTCAAAGTAGTTGTGAAGACAATACTGCTAAGTATCTACAAAAAGAAAGAAAAAAGAAAAGAAAAAAAAAAAAAAAACACTTTGTATCGAAAAGTATAAGTTACCGACAAGAAAATTTGTCTTATTTCAACTTTTGTACAAATAGAAATTATTCAAATATAACATATCAAAAATATAATTAAATTTGATTTTATAAAAATTGATTTTGCTTTATTTTTAAAGATGAAGAAGATAACTAAGCGATTGGAGAGACACGATCCAGACATAAAGTCGATGAAAAAGAAAATTCTTGTTTCTCTTATAAACTACTTTTAATAGAAAACGTTTGTGTTTCGAACGTTCGAGAAATGTTCGTATACGATCAAACGGTATCTTATGCTAAGATTATATATATATATATATATATATATATATATATATATATATATATATATAATTTTTTAAACTTTAAATATTAAAAATTTAATATAACACTCGTCAATGAAATCATCGACGAAAATCGCCGGGCTGTAAACGGTGGCCTTTGAAGTGCATTGAAAACATAAATCATTTGTACCATCTTTTCACTGTACTTTTAAAATGATTTATATCGATTCATTTAAACCGATCGATCGTTTAGTTTTCATACGGTAGAATCGCACCGAGTTTGTTTTCAAACGTTAAAGATAGAAACTTGGCGCGTTTATTGCAAAATAATCTCGTTATAATAAAAGAAAATGTTTATTTCAAATGTATTTCAAATATTTTGAATAAAAAATGTTATAAGGTATTTTCTCTTTCGTAAGTTAAATCCTCATTTTTCACTGGATGGAAAAATTTTAAAGGGACAATATCGTATAAATTAAATCAAATGGCGACGCATAATGCGAGATTTATCCGATCATAAAGATTAACAAAATTCACGAGAATATCCTACCTTTGTTATTTGCTAGAATAACATTTTACAGCGAGAACCAAATAGTTTAATCAAATTATAATCCTTAAATAAGATTTTATCCTTTTATTACCATTTCTGTTGATTCGTTCTCACGACGACGACGACGACGACGACGTTAACATATTTGGTTGTGGATTCGTTCAGTTTACAAATGAAGCCACAATTATATTTAATAAAAATTCTACTTCAAAAATTGTACGTATAAATTTATTCATGTTGGGACAAGTATCATGGATAAACGATGAGGGAGGAACAAATCAGAATTCGTCTCTTTCATTATTCAGAACAGAATTTATAAATAATTACGACAGAGATATGAATACATCGATTGAATAGCATTCGCCTAAACTTTAAACGTCTCATGTTTATACAGTATCCCTTCTCTCAATTTTTTTTCTTTTGCTTCTTTTTTTGTTTATTTATTTATTTACTTTTTTTTTTGTTTTTTTTTTTTTTTATTCGTACATATATACTATATACATTCAATCTCTTAGTCGTAAAATTTGCTAAGCCTCTAAAATGTGAATACTTAATACGTTAATCGGTACGTTGGATCATCGATCGATTTATCGACTAAACACCTTTTATTCGTACTAACTAACGATCAAAACAAGTATCTGTCGCTTTCTCGTTATTTCCTAATAGTTTGCTTTACTCTCTTTGGATTTTACTTCAGCATAATATTCTTCAACCAATCTAATCTCGACCAACTTCGATACTATCTTATCGTGATATAACACGAAAAGAAGCGTAAGTATTGTCGGTTTCTCACGTATTATGTGTATGTGTGTATGTATGTATGTATGTATGTATTATAGTACCTGCATATGTGTATATATCGTATGCATGTATTTGTATACAATGAATAATGCGAACGATCCTCTCTCTATTCGCTTTCTATCTTTTGAAATACTCGAAACAGGTAATAAATGCTATTGCAAAAATGTTAAATGTTTGTCGAAACGATTTTAAATTCCTTGGCTTTTGTTAATGACAAATGACAACGTTGCATGAAAAAATTTCTCCGAAAGTAATGCCTCGTATAAAAGAAACTTATACCTTCTAATAACGTACGATTGTATGATGATCGACGTTCTTAAAATCATTTTGATCTTCTTTTATTGTTTGTTAAATAAAGGCAATTTCAGTTAAGATCGCGAGGTCCATCGTACTATGCATATATATATATATATATATATATATATATATATATATATATATATATATATACTGTGTGGAACGGTATTTAATGTAACTAAGATTTTCGTCTAATCTAATCGTTTCATATAAAAAGTCACCTGAAAATAATTATATATATACATATATATATACACGTATATATATATGTATATATATATTTTTTTTTCTCCCCCAAGATTTTACCAAATACGAATTTACTTTTTGAATTGGAGACGATATCGTCGTAGGATATCGTACTCGTTAAACGGATGTCTCTGCCGACGTAGTGCCATTTACTTTCAATGGGCCGATGATACTCTCCTTCGATCGTATAAGATCTACCTAAAAGAATAATAGAAAATTATATCGAAAGTGTCAATTGCATCATGTTATATTCGCTGACGATTTTTATCTATCGAAAAAAAAAAGAAAACATCTATAGATGATTATTTTCAGTTAAAAAAGAAAGCAATGAATTTTTACATTAAATATATCGACGAAGTAAATGTTAGCTGTGTTAGTGGTGACAAAATCATTTATAAATATCATTTATTCGAACGATAATTAAAATTATTTTACTAGACGAAAAGAAGAACGATGAGCTTATGCTTTTGACAAAAGCCATGCGAATAGTATAATGAAAATGGCATGCAAAGTATTTTTAGTCATGAATATTATTTCCATGGTCGAATTTGAACGATCAATGACTTGGAAAATGAAGGATTACACTTACGAATAACGATAAATTAGATCGTCGTGAGGAAATACAGTAAAGGAGAAGTTAACATTGACAGATATTAAATTATGGTGAAAAAACGAAATTGGATAAATATTTACGTAATACTATTACATAAGGACGAGCTGTGAAACTAATCTAAAGTTTAAACCGAATTATAGATTCTATTACTTTTTATCCGGAGGTTTACTGCTGGATATCGCAAGATTTATTTTCTTCTACTGTAAAATATGTAAAATATAATAACAAATGGACGTTGGAAAAGTATAAGGTCACGATTCAAAAATGTAAGGATATCGATTCCAGCAGCGAACATTCTAAAAGGGGAATAGATAACTATAGTCCGCGAAGAATACTTGTAATCCGTTCTAATAACGCCGAGTCGTCGAGGAGGAAACAAACTCTCCTCGATGAGTCGACTCATCGCGCGAGGGCAAGAAATCATGGCAGCCCCTTTCGTAAATTTACTCACAGCAGTGGTATATGGGGTATGTCGCATGCCGGTGTATTGGTGCTCTTGCTGTGTGTGGCTTGGTGATGATGCTTGTTAGAATTTAGAGTCATTTACGCTCGTCACCTTGATCGATATGCCATTGTCATCTTCGTCTTCCTCCGTCATCGTCGTCAGCCTTGTCGTTTCGTCGACCAGCAACGAGCCTTCCTTCTTGGGATGCTTCTTCGATTTGCTTACGCTACGGAAAGGAGAGAGAGAGAGAGAGAGAGGGAGAGAGAGAGAGAGAAAGAGAGAGAGAGAGAGAGAAGAAAAAAGAAGAGCTAGTACCAATAAGTTAAGCCATATCATTAATCATTTCAAATTGTACGTACTTTATTAATTTCGGTTGTTTTTGCTTCTCGTTACTCTCATTAACTTGTTGCCAAATCCCACTCTTATTGACTTCCTCGCTGATATTGATGCTCGCCAATGGAATCTTCATAATATTTCCATTTGCCATAGATATTTGAATGTTATCCGGTGCTCCATAACCGATGGGATAATTCTGATGTTCCTGTATCAATAAGAAAATACGATCGATTTATAATCAATGTTCGATTTCGTTCTAATAGTTTAGTTTTTTTTCTTTTTTTTTTTTATCGTGCCTGAATAGACCGGTCATGCCAAAGAGCTGACTCTTTTTTTTCAATGATTATGGTAAAGGAATCGATTAATATTTTATACGATGAAAATCGGTATAATCGATTCATTTGTCATTAAAAAATTTCAATTCGTCGGATGATAGAACGTTGATGCAATTGTAACCACTATAGTATAATCGGAACCACGTGCAGTTGTGGTGACGTACCGATGACAGGCGGAGGGTTCGACGACGAGCGATTTTTATGATTTTTGAGCATTTTCTCTGTCTCTCTCTCTCTCTCTCTCTCTGTCTCTCTCTCTCTCTCTCTCTCTCTTTCTATCTCTATTTCTCTCCCTCTCTCTTTCTTTCATTAAGATGCGTCATCGTCCAATTTTGGGTAGTTTTCTCTCACGAATCGTCTCCATCCTCCGTGAGTCATGGTCCTCCCGTTAGATTATCAAACGAAATCTCTCTTTCCGATTTGCCCGTTATCGAAATTTTATTTTTTTTCTTTTTTTTTTTCTTTTACATTTTGTCATCGATCCTATCGCATCGATCCTATTTGCTTCTCACTGTGACAAAGATACGTATATATCGTCCAAAGAGAATGTGTACCTAATGAATATCTGTAGTTTGCTTTTCTTTTTTAGGAGTGGGGCTTGGTGGGAGGGAAGGGGAAGTGGGTGAGGAGGGAGAGAGAGAGAAAAAAAAAAGATAAAAAAATAAAGTAAATTCGACTCACTGTCTGTGCGCAAGAAGCCAAGGGTATCCGCATCTTGATACGAGGAACGTGCTGAACATGTAAATTCCTTGTTAAATATGAAACAACGAGTTTCACGATTTCTATATTTAACGGTTATTAAAAATTTCTGAAAGCAATATAGCTTTGATATTTTGACAAATTGTCATTTTAAATTATCTTTCGTAAGGAACTTGTATGTGAAACAAAATTATGGAATTATACAGAGAGGTGTTTGTATTTGTGTACTTCAAAGAACAATGTATTTTGACAGTTCAAGTCGGGCAGATAGTCTTACAGTCTTTATCACTGCTTTCAATCTAGAACATTGTACGAGGACACATCGATAGCAAATCTTAGGACGGCGAATGGAAAATGATATTAGATCCGTTAACTTATAGGTAGTTGCCTATATACTTTCTTAGATATATGTTATTTTTAGTCGAAGAAAAGTCGAAGAGAAAAAATTGGTCGTAGTTCTGAATGCGATCGATCGTCCGACGTGGAACATAACGATGCTCCGTTATACTGTCGTTTATTGTCTAACGATTACTTAATATATTCTTTATAATTATAACAACGTGTGTAACAAAAGCGAAAATTCAACACCAAAGATTCACGATAATCCGCGAGAATTAATCGGGATCAGAGCGTTGGACATTTTTCTAACTTATCGAAATCTGTAATCTCTTCATAAATGAGATTCTCACGAAAGCGATCAACATTAAATATATCATTGGCCTAATTAGTCTCTAATACAACAATAATAGCAATAACATCGTTGTTGGCCATCGTATGAACGCCTAATACAAAGCTGCTCAAACGCTATACCTACTACGTTATGTATATTGTATATTTAAAAATTATTTACGACCACGATCGCTGCATTTCTTTTAATATTGGTCAATCGGTTAATTGGAAGAAACGAGAAATTAGAAAGGATTAAGGAATACAAGCGAAAAGGTCTTAATTTTACATCACTCGTTCGAACATGTAAATCTCTCGTATAAAATTTGCCAAACATTTTGTAACTATTGATCCTTGAGGCATAAGCGTTGGAATAATTAAAAAACGCTTCGATACTAATTTCTTACTGTCGTGGTTTTACGCTCAAAGAAAAACGAAGAATCTTTCCCGAGCAGTTTTCGTGAGTTTTTTATCTAAAAAAATATTTTCTTCCCCCTTATAGAGGCCCTTTCTAGGGGCCCCTTAGAACCCTTTTATAGGCCTCCAAGAGGATCAATCTTTTTGACGACATAAGCTGGATCGATCGTAGTCGCACATAGTTATAGTGACCACTGGACAAGCGTCGAGCTGGTGGTCATTCCTCGTTCGCTATTTACGACAAGTTAAGTTTCTTAATATTCGTCTGACGATGCTAACCTCGCCGCTCTCCAATTGGCGAAGATCGTCGGCGTGCTTCTTGCTCGGTTCCGGCATCACGTCGTCGAGTATCTTCAATTCTCGCTGAGTGAAGATCAAGTCGAGGGACTTGCGAATGCCAATCATCACTACGAGCTAAGCAAATTAAAATTGAACAAAGACGAAAAATAAAGAAAAAAGGAAGAAAATTGTATTTAAAATCGGCTTACCATCAATGGAAATAGAATAGAGGTAGTGCTAAACGACTTGATGATCCATAGACAGGCCAGACAAGTCAGTTGTATCGCTGTGAATACGTGGACGCGTTTTAACGGCACCTACGAAAAATATATTCGTGATCGTCAGAAATCTTACGAACGGTCTCTTATAAGGAGGGATCGATTGACATATACCTGCCGAAGGAACATGTAGTCGGGCTGGTACTTGACCGGCATAAGCATGATGAGTATTCTATCGAAGAATTGGAGTCCCTTAAGTGACGCCACACCCATATAAAGGAAGACGCCGAATAGTACTGGCATCGGTATGTGCCTGAGCATCGGCGTCAGGAGAACGGAGCAGCCGATCATGAGAAAGATCAGTATGTGCGTAGCTCTTTGCTCTCGAACGCCTAAAAATTGTGGCTTCTCGCCTGGCGCTGCGCATTCCGACTCCAATTTCAACGAGTTCACGTGATTTATCGAAAGTACGGTAGCCGCCACGAACCACGGTAAGCCCATAATCGAACAGACCTCTATCAGGATTGCCAGGATAAACAGGTCCAGATGATAACCGCATCCTTTCTGAACGATCATTCATTTTCACCGGTTAGTTTTAGATTTCGATCTCGATCTCGATCTCGATCTCGACGATGCGCGGTACAAACGTACCTTCAACTTATTTTCTTTCCTATTAACGATCACCGCCGTTATCTGCTGATCCATAAAGATCAGTATAGTGCCCAAGAGAGCGGGTAGAATAGCCACGATGGCGCTCCACCATGGATTATTCTGAAAAGGCCAAATCATCCATCCCCGGCCTTCCAGGGTCGGCTTGAATTCTTCAGGTACTTCTAACTTTGGCGTTGGGATACCCACGAAGTGATCCAACAAGGACATCGAGAAGATCGCGATTATAACGGCAAAATCGCTCAACACTTGTCTGACCTAGAACGAAAGCGCGTTCGTAAGCGATATCACTCTCAGTGGCGCGTTCACTTTTCGACAAATTTTTCTCAATCGAATGAATATATGATACCTTCGATGGAAAGAAAAGAGCATTCTTAAAGTCCTTCATCTCGATGGATAACAAGAAGGTGCCCATGAAAAGGATAATTGACATGAGGAACACATCGGGTACGTATTGCGGTACGTTACAACCCTCTCCTATAAGCGTGCCGTTGTAATTCTGAAAGGAGGAATAACGAGACGTCTTATCGTTTCTTCGATTCCATCTCCAAGGTTTTTTTCCTTTACTATTATAAAGTCACCCCGATCAAAGGATAATTTTCTCTTTTTTATATTTTATCTTTCGTCGAGGAGAAACGACTCTCATCTCCGAAAGCTTTAATCTTAAAGAAACACGACTACCTACCGAATCGGTCGTCTCGAGTCTTTGATCGTGTCATTTATGGGTATAAAAAGTTTTTTCAACGAACCTGACACGTTGTCCGATCCAGCGTCGTCCAATTTACGTTCTCGAACCCATAGGAGGAGCTATCGTTCGGTGGTTTGCACCAGCATTCGAAAACCAAAGGATCGTTGGCGTGAGTATTTATAGGATACTTTTTGCCGATCGAGAGGACGTTTTCCACAGCCTGCATTATTTTATTGAAAAGAAATAAGCTTAGAGAAAAGAAGGACGTTTCGTATAGAAAATGAGACGTGATTCGGAAGCCCGATACCGTTCGATCGACCACTGTCGACCTAGATGTCGAAGGCTTTGCCGATGGTGCAAATTTCAAGCACGCACACCTTAAGACATCCAATTAAGCTCGTAGCATCGTAGGTGTGATCGAAGAGCGGATTTACAAATACTATTTTCTTTGTTGATTAGCTATCAATCAGGTACCACTTACCTTGTAAATAAAAATGAAAGCGATGAGAGTGGCGAAATTTTCTTCGGTAAATCGGGTTATGTAGCAGACGAAGGCGCTCGCGTCAAGGGCTACGAGTGTTAACAAAATGAGGGTCGTCCACGTACCGATCCAAAAGCGAAAGGACATGTAATTCCAATCGGATTGCTTGCAAAATTCATAGACGATCGTCTCGAAGACTAAGACCGGTCCGGTTGATCCTAAAATAGTTAGCGGTTGTCCCGAGAAGAGTCCATATCCAAGGCCGCAAACGAATCCGGATACCAATGATTCCATCGCGGCCATGTTCTTTCCCGTGGCCTCGCTCAGAAGACCACCGAAGGTTATGATGGGCGAGAGACAGGCAAAGTATAAGAAAATGAAGGATGCGACGCATTGTAGAGCCAGCGCGTCTTTGAAATCGGAAAAGTAGAATGGCGCCTTTCTTTTCACGTCGTTTATCAAACCACCGAAAAGCCTTCCCGTTCTGGATAAACCAGATTCTTCTCTCAGTTTCTGTTCGTCGGCCTCCTCGTCGGCATCTTCCTTTGGCTTTTCCTCCTTTGGCCTTTTCCTTACGTCCTACCAAAGCGTACATTATGCAAAACTCGTTAGGACGCGTACAAGCGAACACGAAATGCGCGAACGGAAGGAAGAATAAATAAATATTGGTCATTGAAAAAAGAGAAAAAAAAAAAAATAGAAGAAGAAAGACGCTCTACTTGCGACGGTATGGCAGCCGGTGGTTCTATCCTGATGGTAGGATCCCATTCGCCCGGAGGCAAGACGGTCACTGCGTCTAAAAATTCATCGATACCCGCGAGAAGGTGGTTCCTATTTTTGGCCTTGTATGCGACATCGTGGAAGACCTCGTCGGACATTAGCGTCGCCATTGCCCGTCCAATTTCGTGGAAACCCGAAATTCCACCCTTAAAAATGTCATCCCTCTCCGTTTAAATGTTTCATTCGAAACCCGATAATAATAACGTTTCGACTTCTTTAAGATTATACCATAGGTCCTAAAAGAACGAAGATGAATCTCGTTGGCACCGGTACCTCCGTTAGATCACCCATTATTCCTGCTTGACTGAGTCGTATGAAGGCAGACAGGGTCTTATCTAGAAAATCGACCTCACCCACGAGAATGTTGCTTGCTTCGGCACCGGCCGGTATCTTTCTCATGAAATGCGTGTTACCCTACAATTTGATAGAGCTTGTTGATTATACCATTATGATTCTGGGACCTTTATCGATTCGTGGGATAACTAAACGAAAAAACTAACCCTATGATTGGCATCTCCATTTTCCAATGCGGAAGAACTGTGATTTCTGCTGATCGAAACGCTGCTCGGACTTCGATCAATTCCATTGGTACCTGGTTCTTGACCTGAAATGGATCTAGCTTACTGCCTACCGCACTTCACATTTATTATTTCATCTTTAATATCGCTCGCGTCGAAATCAACGGAATCCTCGAAAAGCTTACCATTTCATTTCTTAAAAGCGTCAAACTTTCAAGCGTCTGCCATCGATTTCAGGGGCTTTCGTTAACAGAACGTAGCTACGAGTTTAAATGTCAAGGATAGTCCGTTCGTAATAGCTTTTCGGAAGGTTGCTCCTCGGCTATCGTAAATTTTCTCGACATTTTTATCGCGAATAACAAAGGTAAAGCTTGTTCCTGTCTTTTAACACGTCACTTTGTATTTTCGTATTCCCTTTCCGATTAAAATTATATAGTACGCAACATTTATCCCATACGTTATCCCTACGAACCCTTTTTACGAAATCTAAACTTTCAAAGGATTACGTATCCTATATTAGGCCTTACCATATATTATCCACATTTTCAGAAATCGATTGCAGCTGCCCGAAGCGTTCAAATTTTTCCCTTTCACATTTTTTACATTCGTAACAGTTTGATAGATTATTACAAGCACGTGTATGTATATGTATATGCGTGTGCTTAGCAGTGTGTATAATACAAGAGTAAGAAATTGCAGAGATTTTTGGAAGATTTTTGAAAGAATGAAAGCTATGCTATGCAAAGCGAATGGACGTGTGTGTTAATTATCAATAAGAATCGTAATAGTAAAGTGGAGACATTTATAGGGGGAGCAAGCAGAGAAAAGCGGTTTACCGGGATTGCCGGGAATGGCAAGGAAGCGGCCGCCAGCATTCATCGCTGCTCCACCGGCCTGACTTGTTGCACCGGCGATCGCCGGGGCGGAATTCGATTCCTCCACTACAAATGAGCATGAAACACAGACCAGGGTCCTTCGTTTATTTACAAAGGAAAACAGAGTGCAACCGTGGCTCCGACGTTACTCCTAATTACGCGGCAAAACGACGTCGAATTACGACAGCCGTTGGGTCAACCGGTCCAACTCACAAATTTTCACCTCTACGCGCTAATTCGAAAACTTGATCTTAATTTTGCGAGTCGCAAAGTCAAAGACGTACTTCGTCGACAAAGTCTCTTCAAACTCGACGTCCGCTCAAGTTATGCAACCTTAAAAGCATAGAAATCCTCACGCGATCTTTCGAACGTAATGTACCGTAGTTTACGGGTCGTTGCTTTTCTTCCGACAATAACTGGAAAAAACTTTACTCGACTAAGAATCGTCGGTTAGCAATGGCTGAAAAATCATCGTAGACAGGATACATCGAGCCACATTGCATTTCACACAATAAGAGCGAAACGTCATGCCTCGCGATCAAAAGTTTCGCAACGTCTCGTAGTTCGTAGTAGAGAAGTATGATACGAATCAGACATGACCGACTCGAGTTCGAAACTTTGATCTATCCTTTTTACATTTCATGTAAAAATATTGCGGATAGAAATATATATGCGTATATATATATATATATTTTCTTAAACAATGAACGTCACACATTCAATCCTAACGACTGATGTGTACATATATATATATATATATATATATATATATATATATATATATAAGAATTACTCTAAACATCGATAATACCATTCAGAGATAAATGTAATAGTTAAAAATGTACATACATTTATATACGTTATGATAGAACCACATGAAACGGGATACAATAAGAAACAGATAAAAAGAGTGTTAAGAGAAAGACGGACCTGTGCAGAATCGTATAATAAAATCTATATCGATAATAATAAATCAATTCGACTATCTAACCTTTTAGCTGACACATGGCGAACCACGCCGTAAATCCCACCACGTGGGGTATGCCAATTTCGGCTGGCGCATAAACAAGAAATCGGCAAAGTCAGTAATTATCTTTGATTCGACTAAGTCGAAGTGTTACTTTCAATGTTCCCCTCCCCCCCCTCTCTAATTTCAATCGCAATTGTTTCGATCGACGATCTTAGCAGTTAGTATGAACGGAGAATAGAAATTGCAGGTGTATCGTTAGCATTTGTATTAATAATCGGACGGGTAACGTTAGTCGATGGATAGAATGAAAAACGATAATGATCTGCGTGAATGCGCGTCGCGCTGTACAATAAACAAGCGATAAGATCCTCGGTGAGTTAACCATAGGCTTTAGCGGACTGGCCTACGTTGTACCTGGTACCAGGAGGTAAGGCCCTTTCAGATCTTTCGTCTCTTTCGAAAGTAGGGCCGTATTCGAGTTTGGACAACTGCTGCTGCGGCCGACGGTGGGCGCATAGGCGTCCCCGACGTCGCGACGCTCCTGCAAATCTGACGTCAACAAGGCATGCATACCACATGTACAGCCGTATTCTGGAAAATGCCGTGTCGTCGCTTTAGCGAATTCCTATTATTTTTCTATTTACCGAAAAATCGGCTCGTTCGCCGTTCCGATTAAAATCGTAATTACCATGATCTTTTCAATGAAAAGCAAATGTAAAATAATCGAAATTATTAATTCAACTAAAAAAAAAAAAAAAAAAAGAAAAAAAAGAAAAGAACTATGAACGATATAAAAGACTAAAGAAAAATTATTTAATATGAAAGAAAGCAAAGAAATAAACGAAAGGTATATAAATTAAATGAAAATAAATTTAGAAGAGTGGGAAGGAATTAATGATTAAATAATGGATCTTTAAAAGTTTCCTCTCTTTCGAGCGTAACGAGCGCCTAAAAGTATGCAACGCCGTGTACGCGTACGCCATTCATATCTCGTTACCTTTTATACTTCCCACTATACGATATGCCGACTCTCGTTAAAACTTTGCCGTCTCTCTTTTGCCATAAATGTTATCTAAGACGATTGCATCCCCGGATTTATCGTAAAGTTATTATGTCGTATATATTTGCCTGCGCTTATTTAGATAAAATTTTATTTCTCAAGATATATAGGTGAGATCAAGAACTTACTCTTTGATGACGAATGATTACGTCCAATCTCTGCCAAAGATCTTATGATCGGTAATCTCGACATGTTGTTGTCCTTACGTCTCTCATGCTGATGTCGATGTCTCACTAGAAGAGCTTCTCTTACCTGACAAAAAAAGAAAAAAATTTAAATAACAGCTTTGACACAATTCTCATGCATTTCGTTCGAGCGAATGAACAAGAATATCTCGAGAAAAAGTTTTCAACGTTTGCCCACCTTTTCCCGTGACTCGATCGGCAGTGCACCTTTGTTGATCATATTATCTAGAACGAGATCGGCTATCTGCTCGAGACTATTGGCCTCCATGTCGAGCATCACGGTACCATTCAAAAGTAAACTTCTCAGTTCGAAGAGCGAATGTAACGATAACGTTGCTACGTGCGGTTTACTCCATCTGTTTCCACCTTCTTCAACGTCTTCCTCGAACTTGATCCATCTGCGAAAGGGAATCGTTGACAGTGTTTTGTCAGTAAAAATAACAACTGCAGTTGCGCTGGATATCACCAAATGGAAATAAATAAATGAATGGGTAGAACGATGCATTGCCTCGCGGTTTCCTTCCACTCCATTTCATCTCCATCCTTGACGAGTTCTTCCATCTCGGAAAAGAGAGGATGCGATTCGTGAGCATCGTTCCCGACTTCCTCGCCAAGAATAAATTGCACTCTCTGAGCCGGCGGCGTGACTGAAAGAGCGGATATTACGTTTTTCAATGGTTCGTTTCATTCGGATAAAAGGAAAGAAAGGACACATACAGATATAAATAATATACGACGAATGTATGATCGAATTAGAAATCGAAGGGTAAAATAATGTCTAAATTAGGTAAATGTCGTGCCTCGATAATGTCTTTGCGCCTTCGTGCAAGCTTTATGATTTATAATTGGATGGATTTCGACGCGAGAACGTACGTAAAAATATTAAATATTTGGAAAAGAAAAAAGAAATTGATTAAGGCTGTGCAAAAGATATGCGAGAAATTAGAACGATAATGTTTTGACTTTAACCTGGAATTGCAAATAAATATTTGATATTTAAAATAGATTGGTACTCGATAGATTTGTCAAATAATCCTGCGATATTTGGATCAAGTGATACATGCATAACATTGACAAATATTTTTCCAAACGAACAAACAACGTAAAGCTGCTACGTTGTAATGTCTCTTTTTATCGGCAGCAAGCTCTTTCGCTTCCATCGTGCTACGATACAATATGATACAATCGAGTAATCGCATAGTTATGTGTTCTCCATAATAATAACAATAACAATAATGAAAGAGAGAATATTCTTCTTTTTTTTTTTTTTTTTTTTTTTTGCGCGAGATCATTCGCATATATGTTCATCGGAGAAAGAGCTTTCTCATCCTTGCGCTTCAAAAGATTTTCTCTTTCCCTTCTTCCGTTATTTATTGATTTTCTTCTCCTGAAAAGTACAAAAAAAAAGAAAAAAATAGTCTCGTTCTCCTCGGTGTAGACATAGCGCTATATAAACAAACATGTATTTCATAAATTAGACCACGTTCCCGATAATGAATGTGATTAACGAGATAAAAGGATCCATCTATTCTATAGAATATATTTCTATTTTGAAGTTAGTCAATAGAACGAAGTGTTTTTCTTACGGTTCAATTCATATTTCTGCCCGTAGCGATAAACTCGTATAATCTTGTCGAATTTCAAATGAATTCATAATTTATCGGAACATTTGTCACGATAAAGAAGAATCAATCGCTTTAAGCAAAATTTTATGTAAACGAATTGGTCGATATTTTTGATATACTTGGCATGCGTTATCAATTCTCTTGTAATACGAATAAATGAATAAGGTGAAAAATATATCGAAAGAAATTCGATAATATCAAATATAGATAATTAATGCTCTTCCGATGAACATACGAACATACGTTATTATACGTGCACGAAACTATGCGGATAATTCGGGAGACTTAAAAGGGGCTGGCTTACATATCATCTCGCCGTCGGGGTCGCAAATGCTCGCGAGACGAGCCCTGCGCGTCATCACCAATTGTCCTGCAATGTCACGAGACAAAACACAGGTCTACACCACTTGAAAAATCAAATTCAATTCTATCTCCTTTCTAACCCAAGCTCGATTCTACTTGGCTTTTGTCCCTTTGATCGAGCTTAAGGCCGCTTTTATGCACGATTTCGTTCGATCCTTAACGATCGAATCTTCCTTTTACAAGGTTATTTACAAAGATGTTCTACGATAGAAAAGAATCGAATGAAAGCGGCCAATAGCGTTAAACGGGAATAAGGAACTTGCGCTTATTTACATTCTCCTTTTCTCCCACATCGAATCTAGTATCGATTTTCACCTTTCGATTTTTCGTTGCTCGCGCTGTTCTTAGTACACGTTTTCGTTCGTTAACAAGTGAGATAGAAAGAAAGGAAGAATGAAAAGTAGGAAAGAAAAAAGATGAGAAGAAAAAGTAAGGAAGAAAGTGGAAGGCCGTTACGGAGCAGCCTCCGGAGAGAATTGGGTTGAAAAGCCCTTTTAGAGACAAGGAAAGAGAAAGAGAGAGAGAGAAAGGTGTATCGATCAGCGTCCTGCATACTCGGTGTGCCAGAAGGAGGGTGAATACCCGTCCGAGTCTCGTACAAGTGGTTGGCGCTTTGCCACGCGCTGCTTCAAAGTGCAATGCAACGAGAGCAACGATCCGTCTCTACCTCGTCTCGCGTATACCGTTTATATGCTCGCCTTCCATCACCTCCTTCTTCTCTTTACCTTAAAAATGCCTTAACATTATTCCTAATACAAGCCCCCTGCTCTTTCAATTATCCGCTCTAAAACTCGAAATCGTATCGTTTGAACGACAACGCTAACGATGCAAATTGAAAACGAAAAAAAGAGAAAAAAAAAAGACAAAAAAAAAGAAAGAGACATACGAAAAAGAAAAAACAATAAAAAAAGAAGAATAAAATATCACTAGAACGACTCGACTTACTAGGTCTTTCGTTGTCGATATCCTCTTTAGTATCACCATACGATTGCCGTTGAGAATGATGGTGTTTATGGTGTCGACGATGTCTTCTCTCGCCGGGTAAATGTACGCCCACATAGACCGTATGTGCTCGGTGACCTGGAAGCAAATGAAAGAAAGTCCATGTATTAGTCCCGCTTCACGATCTAGCATTGCCGTCGAATAATTTCAATCGCATAACCCTCCCCCAACCCCCATGTTCTCTATATAGAAATTGACATATCCTTGGATCATAAGAAGAAAAGCATGATTTCGATGAGAAACGATAAATAAACGAAATGTACGCATGTAAAGTATAGCTATATGAGATATCTATAGTGGTTTGCCTACGTCGTTCAAGATCATTCGAGCGGAAACGACCTCGTTTCGATCGCGCATCGTTCATCCGCGTCCAGCCGATGATTATAAAGACATCGAAATAACGATTTTTGAAGCACCTACTACTATTGTCGTGTGAGCAAACAACGAAGCCAGATTCGTATTTGGCTGACCTATGCGCGTAGAAAGGTATTATTAGCGATTAGCGACTCCTTTCTTCTTCATTTATATTCGCTTTGGATTCGGGGTGAGGGCTGCGACCTTGAATTTGACGATCTTACCTTCATAATCCTTTTCGGTGTAGGATTGGTGGGTAATGCGAGCGCCTGGATCTTTCGGAGCCTCATCGTCGGCTGTTCCAGCCACGTGGACCGTGCCACCGCCTACTCCTCTTCCTCCTCCTCCTCCTCCTCCTCTACATCCTCCTCCTCCTCCTCCTCCTCCTCCTCCTCCTCCTCCTCCACCACCTACTCCTATTCCAGGCTGCATCCACGGTCTGGCAATTAAAAATATCACATAATTCTTTTTCTTTTCCCCGTTAGCTAAATAAGAAAATAATCGAGAGCCTGACGACGAGAGCTCCCTACTTCGTCTTGATCGCTCTCGAGGGATCGCGAAAGATTTCTCCTCAAAGGCGGAGACATCTTTGTACACGCAATCGCGGTCAACGCACCGTTCTTAATCATTTCATTTCCTCCCCAGAAAACGCTTTGTCCGTGCCGCAACGTCTGCTTCTTGATTCACCGTCTACCGATCTTCTACTTTTATTTTATCGTCTTGATCTTTATCCCTAATGGGTCTCGTGCACACGGGAATAACAACGACTTCATTAGATTATCATATCTCACGCATTTACTCAATAGTTTCTCAAATGTCTATTTCAAGATATTACGACGCAACTTTTGATAAGCATTCGATAGAGAAAGTAATTAACGCTAGATAAGGGATTTTCTAGTTGGCTATGTGGTACAGTACATATATTTGATTTACCATTTTAATTCGCTTTTTATGTAATAATTATTTCATGCCTTATACAACGTAAATGTTGTCGCTCGCTTCGTTTTATTGCGTGACACATATAAATTTTAACGCCCACTCCACGAAGCTTCTTTCCACGACTCTCATCCATTAATGCGGATAACTCGGATGAATTTAGAACGTTCCATAGTAATACGAGAGTCTGTGAAACGTACAAGTATATGACTAGAAATATATTCATAACTCGATCCAATATCATTTCTTACGATCTAGAAGGGAATTATAAAGGGATGATATTAGAATAAAAAAATAAGAGACGACTCACGTTCTTTTTCCAAGTGGTTCGTCTCTCATGCCAGAATTAATTTAGATGGCTCGTACGATGACCAATTCGATCGTTTGGACAGCGTGAAATTTCCTACAACGAAATCAAGGGCAAAAACTTCTTCGGAAATGGAAGAAATCCAATAAATTTTGTCGATGGCTCGATAAACGCAAGTACCTACGTGCGAGAACAGAGAGATTCAATGGAACAAGGATGTCGTTTGCAAGGAAGAACAATGGACACTGTCGGACAAACGCGAACAGCCAATATTCTAAACAGCGACTAAGTTATAATAATTATCATTCATGTTCGAGGACGATTTCGAAAAAGTTGATAATCAAAGACACATGAACTTATTCAAAATGAAAATTTATTTATGATAAATGTTCTAATTTAGTATTTTATAAGGCCCGTGTAATTTTTACCTCGATTGTAAAATAAACGTTTATTTAGGATCGTATGACGTAAATTACGAAATTATTAAACATGGATCACGTTGATATCGCGCTTTATCGCGTTCGAAGAAATTCAAATGAGTTACGCAATCATCACCTTTACCTGAATAATGGCTTTATATCGTATTAAAATTCGTATCTTTTGAACGAAACTCAAAACGGGAAGCTCATTGAGAACTATTATTTCGTGACGTTTCCCCCTTTTTACACTTTTATCAAAGTGTAAAAAATATGTGATCTATAAGGAGCTTTAAATTTTCAAAAGTTCCTAATAATACGAACGACAAAATTTTACCGAGAAATAACGATGATCAATCTTTTTTTCACGCAATTTGTTCATTGCACGATCGTTATGTCAATCGATATTTATTTTCACAGATGGTACGCACAGACGTTTCCCTTAATAAGATCTCTCGTTCAAATAGGCGGTGGCTCGAATTTATCTACAAATAATGCACGAATTTGCGAGGGCGTACTTGCTGTGTGTAAAAGAGCGCGGGAGACATATATTTAGTTTGTCGGAGATAATAGCAACGATTATGATGCTGCTACCAATGATGACGACGACGACGACGACGACGACGACGACGACGACGACGACGACGACGACGATGATGATGACAGCGAGGATGATAATGACGATAGCATTGCAGGGAACGGAAGTAAATTGATTTATGAGCGGTTCTTGTCAGGTGATTTTCTGATTAATATGTAGATGCAAGTACAAATGTTACGTAACAATGCCTTAAAATAGAAAAGTCCTACTTATATAAATTCGATTCGAGAAGTTGAATAAAATTGTTGACGAAGAAAAATATAGAACCCTTTGAACCATTTCTTCGCTCGATCTCACAACGCGACATTTTATCCCGATAAAAGAGCTCGTCAAAGTTTATAGAAAGGATCTTTTAGATAACAAACATGATGCATCGCTATAAGGATAATGGAAAATAAATAAGCCCAAGATAGAGATACGTGGTATTACTTACAACGTTCTAAGAATTGATATCTTCTAATCCGATCTCGTCGAGATATTTCAAATTTGTCAGTCCTCGTACGATCTTGATCTCGATGAGATTTAATCCTCGCTGCGATAAAGAGACTTCTTTTTATACAATTGTTATAACGATTGCATATGTAGGAGATCGTAAAGTAATCGGTGCGCAAATCGATACGTTCGCATCTGCTAAACGGCTGTTACTGAAATACGTTGGACTGATTGTCGAAACGTTTTCGTCGGAATCGATCGAATCAAGGACAAATTTACGGAACGTCAAGATCGCACTGACCCAAGTGAGCAACGATCGGCAGCCGTCAAGTGAATAATTACCACTCTACGATTACCTACGTCTACCTATCTAGCGTGCCTTGGCATAATGAATGCCTATCTCGTCCATAACGCGTCTACTAATAAAGGAGGACCGAGAGGACGGAGGGATTACATCGTGTAACCGAACGATGATCATTTAATTGTCGAAGGTCGTACAGCGTTTGTCGCGCGTCGTTACAACGGAAAAGTGCTTTAAACCGTCGCGTCATAAGGATGGATCATCGACAATCGTCCGTCCGTGGAAGTCGCATTCGAAAAGTAACATCGGCTCACGACCGCAACTTTATTCTTTCGTAATTGCAAACATTAATGAGTTTACTCCGATGAGTCATATTAACGAGAGCAACAATAACGTCGATGAATGAAAAAGTCCTTGCTTTGTACGTTTTTTCTTTTTCTTTTTTTTTTTTCTTTTTTTTTTTTTTTTTTTTTTTTCTTTTTTCTTTTTCTTTTTTTTTCCCCCATCGTTCTTATAACCACGCATCGACCGCGTGACCGCGCGAATAAACTCGTTAAGGATGATAATCGTGTCATTAATATACGTCGTGACAATACGAATGACGCAAAAATACGAATAAGAAAATCATCGTCTACGATTTACAATTAGATTTTCCAAGTGTAACATCGAAAGGAATAATATTATAAGGAGCTTATAGATCGAAGTGACAACTCGTAATTATATTAACGTCGGGACGTGAAAAATCTTCCTTTCGTCGTGGAACTCGACAACGGCACGTTTGTAATTAAATCGAACGAACAACACATTGCGACACGTCTCTGGGATAACTCTGTTCTCACGAAGCGGATGTTGCTCGGAGTTTGTATAAAAAAGCAATTCAGTTACTTCCAAAATATCCTCTATCTCGATCATGAAATTAACGCGATACGAGGGGCATGTAAATATTTCAAGAACAAATCCAATTATATTCTCAGTTGTGATTAGAAGACGACATGTGTCATTTAATATTTTCCTTTTTTAGTTCCATCCCAAATTTGTCTCTCTGTCTCGAACGATTCCGTCGCCTTGCTACGGAGAAATGTTCCAACTAGAAATTATATTGGGTCGAGCATATCGAGAGGACTTAACGACCTGGAAAATTTTAACCAGAGAAATTATCGATATATCGTTGAAACGTGAAACGTTCATGGGTCATCATCGATTTCGAATAGGGAGGCGAATAAACGGAAAACGTCGTCGACGTTTATGCGGATCTTAATACATTTATCAAATGGTAGTTTGTAGTTTGATACCTCTTGCAGACACACCCACGGACAGGTATGACATTCTTTCGAAATTTATACAAATATACTCGTTTAATTATATGAAACTTTTTGCCGAATTTGTAAAGAAAGACAAAAAGGAAGCGATCGAACAAATTCACCAAAGTCATAAAATATTATATATAATCGAAATGAATACCGAGATCAATATCTAACCGGTTACACATATACTTCTCTTTGCACAATAAAATGCAGATTTATGACTTAGGTACGCATAATCGCAAATGGATCTTCTATTGCAAACACTCACAAGTGTGCATCGTAAGCTTTATAAACGTTGTAGACGGTGTGAAGGGACACGTAACTAGTTCTTACGTAAACGACACAGGGTATATACTCGTCGCGAACGATTGCTATGCTCGAATCGTTGGTAAATCGCGTATAAATCGTACGTATGATCGTTTGAAAAACCATGGACGGTTCCAATATCTATCGAACGTTGCATCGTGTAGAAAGAAGTTTTCCATTTTATCCAAAGGTTAACTAAGTTTATCATCGACCTCTTTTATTCGTGTCTTTATCGAAGAAAGTTCGAAACCAAAGTAAAGAGAGAGAGAGAGAGAGAGAGAGAGAGAGAGAGAGAGAGAGAGAAACGATCGATTGGCATTGCAATTGCATCGTATAAAAACTGGTAAGTGTCCGAAGATTCTAAACATCGTTTAGATCCCGCGCGCATGTTGTCACGCTGTCCGAAAGCTTTTGCAATATCGTTGTCATTACGTAAAAGCTTTACCACGTGTGCGGGAATAAAATAGAACTATTTGACTAGCTTCTGTTCGAAGTAGTATAGCTGCAAGAATTTTGCAGATATACCAAAGTGCCAGAGAAAGAAAGGAAAAGGAAGATTACTACGACAACAAAGTTGAAAGTTCATACGAAGAAATCGTCGGAAAGCGTAAATTGAAATTAGCTAGCCTTGAAATCAAATTAGTCAATTAGGTTTAACGGAAGAAGCGAAAGCATCGTTCAAATTCCGTTCTACCATTATGGCGTTTAGCGTTTTGATGATTCGATCGTTATCTCTTTCATGGCTTAATACCTACATAGATAAATGGTACGCATTAACGTGGCTATTGTGCGATAACGCGAGTTTACGTTCATATAAGGTCGGATTAATTTTATCGTGTACGATTATGTGAAAATTTTTTTTCTCCGAACTATTAAGATAATAAAGACGACTCGTGGCGAGGGAAGATTATCGTAATAATATTATTATGTCGTTCTTCTTGATCTCATATAAAATCCATTAAAGGTTTTTACAATAATACGATAATTTAGAATATCAATAGGAAAATTCTCTCCCTAGCCTAGATGAATCATCGCGAATGATTCAAACGGAGGACGTTCTCTAGATCGAGCCAATATCTCGACTTATTTAAAAAGACTACTGTTTACTCGTTCAAAGAACAATATTACGTCGAGCGTCAAAAAGAAGATAGAAATTGATCGAAGATAAACCGCATCGTTCCTATTATACGCGATTAATAACGAAAGAATCATCACAATTGTGCCACAATATCGAATCTTGTACTTGACACACCTTCGATTGCTTTCTAACGCTCGATTATTCCTCGTAATCATTATTATTATTTCAATTCCAAGTATCCAGCGAATTGACTACAGACGGAAAAAGTGGAATGATTAGAGTAGCGAATATTCATTCTATCTAATTATACAAATATTTGCGCCATTGAAATAAAACGCGAGGCATCGGATAAACTCGTTTTTGTTATTATCTTTCATAGGAATTATCGAATAATTAAATAAACGATTCGTCGAATGTGGGCGACAATCGATAAATCAAGGTAAATGCAAATTCATTTCGATATTTTACGGGTAGTACGTTTATCAACTTACATTTAACGAATCAATCTACTTCTACCGTCGACGTATCAATAATTTTAATGCCATCGAATGGAATGAATGATGATCTCGCAATGTTTCTTCCCATCGATGTAACCTCTGGCAGAAATTTTAATCCGATATCTTTCCAATAAGGATGCAAGAAAGTCCGCAAAATGGTAAACGAACAACTGTCGATATGATTTTTTTTTTTTTTTTTTTTTTTTTTTCTTATATACGCTCCTTATCTAAGTCTCGATGTCGTAAGAGTTCTCTTCTTTAAAAATGATTCTTATCGAGTGATGACAATCATAATTGTATCATAATGATGACAATATCATAAATATATAAATAAAAAGGAAAAGAAAAAAAAAGTCTATCCTACTTGTAAAACGAATATGCACTATCCATTCTCTCAGTACCCTGGAAAAAAAAAGTCCAAATGTACTCGATCCAATCGATGCAATTAAACTTTGCTCTTCGTCCTTTCCGAGAATCTATGAGATAACGAGAGAGAGAGAGAGAGAGAGAGAGAGAGAGAGAGGGGGGGGCACTCGCGCGTCTGGGTAAAGCGTAGGCGAAAGATTTTCTCTCGGACAATTTGTAAGCAATTTATGTACTTTTACACGCACTGCACGCGTCGAACGAAACACAGTGAATGCACGTCGAACGACTGTTTACTGACGCATCGGCTCTTGCGTTTGACCAAACGCACGCTTCGTCTCGTCTTTCCTATCTGCTCTCTGTCTTTGTCTATCTATCGTATACGACATATTGGTAGCCACGACAAAAGGTCGACGAAAATATCGGAAGGACCAATGAGGAAGATTTCCTATCACGAACAATTGAAAAATAGAATGGACTGTGAGATAGAAGAAACTTGTGAACGAATCGCCCTTTGTAATAGGGCCATTATTCAAGAAGATAGAAATAAATACTTTTGACTCGAGGTCAATACTACGATGGATGTCTAATGGATTTATCATTTGTCTGAAAGAGAGACTGAAACGGATAAGATAAAATAAGAAATAAAAGAATTGTATGCAAAGTTATGCGATTATTTACGCTACTCGCGTTCCTATCTTCGTTTATTTTTGTGTGATAAAGATTACGTGATTTATTTAATACCATCTATCTATATTCACTTATCACCGATCCTTTACTTTCGAATGTGATCGTGACGTTTGATCGACCTCGAGCTTTCTCTGTATATAATTATACGTACGCGTGGATAATTCGTCGAAGACATATACGCAACTCACAAGTTCAAACTCAGTCTCGTACATATAGATATGTACGATTGATTCTTTGGCGATCGAAAGACGGACGCGCTGTCTGGCCGTCTCGCGTTAACCGTCAAGGTCATTCTTCCATCCTTCATATCTCCGAAATAATCTCTATAATCTCGGAATATCTAATAGCTATTAGATATTCAGCAGAGCGACAAAAACAACTATATTTTATTTTATTGCATTAGTTTTGAGATAATGTAACTTATAAAAAAATATTATTTATCCTCCGTTCATTTACGAGCGACACGTAGAAGTTTTGCATTTTATCAAAAAGACTACTCGTTATCTCGCTTTCGTCAAATAAACGAATAAATTCTACTTCAAAAGTTGAAAAAAATATTTACTTTCGACTTACCCTCTGCTTCACTCGACAACGACGAACGCAGAGCCGCGTTCCCGACGGTCCTCTTCCAGATACTGTCGCTTTCTATCAAGCTCTCGGCATCGTGCAGTTCGTCGAGAGAGCTACGCGTTGCCGTGGGAACGAGAAGCCGCGACGATCTCGATTAAACTTTCATTTCAAGATTCAACTTTGCACGATGCATCAACCGTTCTTCCCTAAAATCAACAAAGAGGTGGTTGCGTGGTCGGAGCATCGCGCGTCTTTGGAAATACACGCTGCGAAAGGAAGGATTTTTTCGTTCTAACGATGTTATAATATATACATATTATATATAATATATAATATATCTTCTATACATATATATATATATATATATATATGTATATATGTATAGATAAGGATGCAAAAGAGAAAAGACCTCGCCCTTTATCAGCGACGAAGGATAGCCGTGAACGTTGCCTTGAACTTTTCTCGTCCCTCCTTTTTACCTCGCTTTTATTTCATCGAAACATCGATTACGGACAAACGCAAGAAGAAAAAAGACGTGAACTCTCGGGTCTATCTCGATCGAGTTCGGTGACACGCGACGCGCACCTTTCGGACGCTCGAATGAGTCCTCTTCCTTCCCCACCCCAACCCACCCCCCATAGACAATATAACATATATCTTATCCAGCTAGAAAAAGAAGAACGAAACAAAGTTTCTATGTTCTTTCGAGAGATAATGGCGAGGCGGGTTAATTTGAGATAAAGTTAACGATTGGTCAAAAATGGGCTAACGATTCGTCGACATCGTTAATTCGATTTACCGAAACTTATTAATGAGATCTCAGAGGATGGCGCGGACGTCGGATTAATTCACGTATTTCCAGGGCGTATTCTTCGCGAGACATTCGTAATGGCACCCTATCGCTTTTTTTTTCTATTCGAGATAAAATGTAAATTCCTTAATCGTTAATATTGTTAAAACATTGGACGCACGAGTTTTCGAGTCGTCGATTCACCGTCGATAGGACGCGCATCCTCTCGATGAAGTGACCTCGAGTTTGTCGTAGAAAAGAAAGAAGTGGATGGAAAACGCTAGCTCTCTCTCGGCCAAGTCCAGTTTTGATTCGATTATAGTAAAGAGGGTTAAAGCAAGCAGACGAATGGGTAGATTGATGGATGGATGGATCGAGAAGCGTAAAAGAGAGTAACAGAGAGAAAGGATAAAAAAAGAGAAAGAGATAAATAATAAATGAAAGAGAGAGAGAGAGAGACAGACAGACAGATAGACAGAGAGAGAGAGAGAAAGAGAGAGTGAGAGAGAGAGAAAGAGAGAGAAAGAAAGCGCAGGTGAGCGCGTATCTTTGGGAGGATTCTCTCCCCAGGTTCGGGATATCCTTTGCGCGGCGTGCGACGCGTATCCGCGACGCGAGACGACTGTTCGCCGCGCGAGCTACCGCGAGTTCCTGCCTGACGCCACGAGGTGGCATTAGAAGGCAGCTCGAGCAGCGCGCGCGCAGGTATTGATCCACGTGCATGACACCGGCCACCACCTCTCGCGCGTCGCGACGCATCTCTTTATATCGTCGCCGATAAAGTTTCATCTTCTTCGTCTTCTTCTTATTCTTCTTTTTCTTTCTCTTTCTTTTTCTTCTTCTTCTTTTTCTTCTTCTTCTTCTTCTTCTCCCCTCTTCATTATTTTGCCCGACAGTTATTTGGCAAAATGACAAACCCTTCCCTCAAAACTCTCCCCAAAAGACACAGCTCCTTTATCATAACATTCTCTCACATCTAACACTTTTATGTTTTCTTTTCGGTGTTATTCCTTTCTGTCCTTTGTTCGAGTATAACGATGTAAAAAAAAAGAAAAACAAAAAAAAAATAAAGAAAAAAAGAAGCAATAGAAAGAAAAAGAAAAATGTTAACATAAAGGATAATTTTACAACTTCGTCTGTAGGAATCAAAGATTGTTTCTATTTATAATAAAAATCGAGAGGTAATGTGTAATATTATTAAGTTAGGTTCGAAGACCGAAATGAAATCGAAAGTAAGACTATCGAACGATCGATAAATCTGTTATCCATTTAGGATAAAAACGCTATCTTCACGATCCACGATCGGTAATATAGATTTCTATAGAGATATCTTCATTATCGACGATCGGTTCACCCGTATCTTCGGTATCTTCGCAAGTAGACTTTCTGTCGTCAGATATCAGCACCATCTGTTCGTCGAATTGGAGTCATTTAAAAGAAAAAAGGAAAAAAAGAAAAAGAAAAGTAATAATAATGATTTAACTCAGAATCGATTTAATTAGGAAGGGAAAAAAGAAGAAAGATAATAACGGATGAAGTAAAGCTATATCGTAGAAAGGCTTTAGCAAATTGAGAGGCTACTTTTCGAGGGTTCTTTCTCAGACGATCGACCGAGTCACCTGCTAGGTGTCAATTATGCTATCTTTCGACAAAGATCTCTATCCAAAGGTACACGGAAAGCACGAGTCTTTAAGGTCTGTTCCTATCCCTTGGTGGATTCTAAATCCATGGGTAGATCTTAAAAAAACATTTAACGAATTTCTCGCGTTCCCGAGGCAAGAGGAGGAGCTCGAACAAGATGATCCTTTTGGTTGGGACGGCGAGATCCCATGAAAGAAAGTAAGTAAAGCTGTCAACGAGGACGAAAGAATAACACGGAAGTGGATCATGGAAAATCAGATAAGAAGTCGTCTCTCCTCTTTTCGAGGTTTCCATTGTTTGACTCTCTCTTTCTCTTTCTCTCGGGAATTAAGATAACGAAGTGAGAAAGGCGAGGTGGCGAAGGACGACGCTCCACCCTGGTCGGCCCTGTTTGAGTTTCCAACAGGAACAAACCGGGCGCACCTACTCTTTCTTTTCTTTCCAAGCAAATAATATGTATGTGCGGATACGCGTACTACTCGCCGTGCATATCTTCGCCGTATCTCTGTACATTAACTGTGCTAGCGAACTCGTAAAACCTGCTAATAAATAGTACAAATTAAATTCCATTGTTATCGAGTGTCAATAATCCACGGACATTCTGGTAAAAAGTTAAACGGGCAACAATATTTTCGTACTAGCCGTAAAACAATGTCGCATTATCGATAGGAATCTACTACGACGACGAGTTATCGTGAAATTCCGTGAAAAACCGGACTCTTTCCTCTGGCCGTCGCTTACAGCGTATTTACAGTCCACTTGTTGGAACTCGAAAAGAGCGACTCGAATGACAAGGAGAAGAACCGCAAACGGTTTTTCCGGCAACGATGCTGGCAAATATTTACAAGAAGCAAGAAGAAGAACCTTCCTCGCTCTCGGTCCGAGCGTCGCGCCAAGAAACGTCACGCCGCGTGTTACGTGATTCTTTTCGAGGATTTACGAGGTAAGATTATAAAGTTGTAAAAATGCGACGAAGGAGAGGAGAGGAGAGGAGAGAAATATTTCGACGGCGTGTATCGGTCGGCATTTCATCGAAGGGCTTTTCCTCGATAGCGACGCTAATGTCGGCACGAAAGGGCCAAGCACGCGTTTATAACCCTTCCGTTTGCTTAGGCAAATCGAAGAGATTTCGCGGCGAGAGCTGCTTCCCCTCCTCTCCCTCCCGTCGGCCCTGGCAATAAAAAACTATTACTGTGGTCATCAACCTTTTTAACGGCGAAAGCTACCATTAGTAGGAGGCACGCTAATCGCGAACGTTGTAACGTCAAAAATTATGGGCGCGCGAGGATGTACCGCGCCGTCGTAAAACCAAAGCACGATTTACATTTGTATACGACGTGTTTATTTCGTTGCTATCCCGTTCGTCCGCGCGCTCGACCAAACGATAGAGACGTAAGCCCTCGGAGGATAATAAATCTTCTCCTTTCTCCGTCTCATTCTCCTTTTCTTACCACCTCCTCGAGAGCATAGGTAAAACTAACGCCACTAGGTTCTTCGCGCGACTTGTAATCGCAAACGAAGTAGATCGAAATTATCGTTCTCTATGGAAAGGAAAACTAGCATGACCGAGTTGGGATCTTACGGTTATTAGAAGGAAGCTTCGAAAGATTGCGATCGATGATCGATGATCGGACAACTTTCTTTTTTTCCGTTTTTATACTAAGACTCGTCAAGCAATAATAGATCGATAGATAAATCTATATAGGTAGCTACTTATGGATGTATAGCGCGAGGCGAATGTAGGAGTCAGCGTGCGTCGAATCGCTCGAATCGATCTCACGCTCCCACAGTTTGTCGGTTCCGAATCACGGTGGGTGATTATGAAATTCTGTCACAACAGCTCGAGAGACTTAATTCGTCTCGATGGCTTCGTCCGATGGCTGCGCCTGGCTCCGAGCTCCGAACCGATCGGATCGGCCGATGCCTCGGGAGATTCTCACGCAAACGCAACTCCCCCCTCTCCTTTATTCCCCTTCTTCGCCGGCCCGGCTCGCCGACGATGAATTTACAAAGACGGACGCGTACATTCTATTAACAGCGACCAGCGCGACGACAAGGAGGAGGACGATCGAGGAGGAGGAGGAGGAGGAGAAGATGCGTGAGAAAAGTCGAGTCGATGACTATCGAGGAGGTATCGGTAGGAGAAGGAGGAGGTGGAGGAAAAGCCTGAGAGGGTTAAAGTCTTACTTAAAGGGCGCCTCCGCCCTTAGCAAGGATCTCGGTCCTTGGATGTCGTCGCAACAATGGGGCACTTAAACGCAGCGAAAGCTTAAGTCATCGTAACGGGCAATCACCGAGCGCTGCCTCCCAATTATCTCGGGGCAAAACAATTAAACGCGACGCGCGGATGCTTTCTCGGATACGTCTGACTTCTCCAGGAAGGACAAAGGGAACTGCATCTTCATCCAATTAGACGATAATGGAAGACGAACGCGCGTTTTGCCACGGGGCCCGCGAGCCAAAGCGTCTTCTTCTTCGATCTCCGAGAAGAATGCCACAGATGGATTCCGTTCTCTCTCTCTCTCCCCTTACCCTCTCCCTCTCTCTCTCTTTCTCTCTCTCTCTCTCTCTCTCTCTCTCTCGTCTTCTTTCGAAATTTCCTTCCGTATCCTCGGACTCGGCTCAAGGGTTCGCGCGACGCGCTCGAGTGGGCTTCAACGGAGCTTATGCCAGCCGGAGTTGTTTAAGCGCTTGTACAAATAGAATACAAAGCGGCGAACAAACAACGGCTAAAAGGTTTGAGTTGTAACGCGCTCGGACGCACTTCGCGCTGGCAAACAGACCAATCGAGAGACCTCCTCTCGCTTTCCCTCTCTTAGCCTTACCTCTCGCGATCCATCTTCCTCGCCATTTTGGTATACCCTACGCCTACGGTCTACCATCTTTCTCTTCTTCTTCTTCTTCTTTTTCTTCTTTAGCAAAAATAAGCCTTTCGAAAATTGCACGAAGGATGCAGAAGCTTTTTTCTTTTTTTCTTTCCTTTTTTCTTTCTTTTTTTCTTTCTCTTTTTCTTTCTTTTTTTGAGTTTCCATCTCGATTTCTCCATCTCTCGAGGTCGATAGGAACGTCGGGTCGCATTAAGGCGAGATGATCGCTACCATCTTCGGCTCGACGCTCTTCGAGTTTATGCCAAGTCTATCTTTTTAGGTATGCGTCACGTCGGTGTACGATGGAAGAAGAAGTGGAAAGAGGGTCAGGCGACATTGGCCAAGTGGAAATAACGACTCTCTCTCTCTCTCTCTCTCTCTCTCTCTCTCTCTCTCTCGAGACGTAGGAGACAGGTAGGCAGATAGGAAGGATCGCGCAACGGTACGATCACTAAATTAAGCCGGATTAGGCTAATCTGGACCCGCGGATCGTTAATTAATGTGGCTATTAGTCAGCGACGTTGACTATTAATTCGAACCGATAGCAATGCCCCGACGATACGTTATGGCAATATCGTGTATTTGTCACTATCGCTCGGCTCACAAATTGGTTACAGCGCACCTGGAATGCCGTGCGTCCTCCCGTAGGGATTCGAGTCTCTGCTCCCGCTCTCCTCTGTCTAGTCGTTTCCATCTCCTCCGGTCGTTCGCGTAGACGATCGCGAGAAGGCGTCGATCTTTATCGTCCCTCATCAACGTCGATCCGCTAGGTCAATTTATTATCGTGTCCTAGGACCACACTCCGCCACGCTCGATGGTATAAATCGTGAAAAGAACGAGCAAAAAGATCGCCACCGATCGTCAACGGTATAAGAAAAGTTTCCTGAAAGAAAACATTCCGAATTGGTTATCCTTGGTGATTTTCCATCGAGAGCTGTCTCTCTCTCTCTCTCTCTCTCTCTCTCTCTCTCTCATGAATTTGTCATAGCCAGCTGACCGAGCAGAAGGAGGAGAGAGAGAGAAAGAGTAGAAAGAAGACGTAAGTAGGTATACACCTTCTTCTTCTTCTTATCCCTCTGGCTATACTCGCCACGAAACCCGGATGCACGCCGTTTAGGATCTCTTTTTCTTTTTATCCCCTTTCTTCGAACCAAAGACACACCCCCTCCCTCTGTCCCTCTCCCACGAAGGTTTTACCTGGCTCTCAATGCCCGTATAAAGTTGTCTTCGATCTTCTGTGTGTGTGTGTGTGTGTGTGTGTGGAGCCAGCGTTCTATGCGACACCGATCTCTCTTACCGATTCTCGTTCGTGAGAATCCAAGCGTTCGCGAATGTTCGAACGAACTCGAAACGAACGAATTTCATTCGAATCGTTTGCACGGCAAACGACGTTGCCCGTGATCATTAACGATTCTTTACGCTTCTCCGAGAAGTGGAAAACCGCCTGCGGAGTACACGAGCAACAGAGAAAGAGAGAGAGAGAGAGAGAGGGAGAGAGGAAGAGGAAGCGAAAGAACGAAATGTTGGCTTCGCGGCCAAAATCATCCGAGAGGATGGCTAATTATCCTCTCGAAGAAAGAACGAAGCGGTATGGCGTTTGGCGCTTTACCTGGCACGACGCGTAATCGATTCGCCGCGGATGGCTAGACGGCTGGACGCTCTTCGACCGTGCCCCTCTCATAAGACGAGGTGATTTTACCGAACAAACAAGCTCGAAAAAGTACGATTCTCGTGCGAATCGGAAGTCGAGAGAGAGAGAGAGAGAGAGAGAGAGAGAGACAGAGAGAGAGAGAGAGAGAGAGAGAAAGAGAAATAGAGTGAGAAGGAGAAAGAAAAGCAAAGGCGATTTATAATGTTTTCGACACAGTCACGCTCGGAGAGTAAGTCGATCGACAGGTGTATTCATCGTAGCAGTTCTTTGTCGAAAAGAGAAGAGATTTATGCCGTTTCGCTGGACGTTGGACGAATCGAGGAAACGAGGAAGACGCTATTCCCTTTCTCTCGCGGGTGGTCGAAAAGGCCGAAGACCGCAGAGCGAGCGAGCGAGCGAGCGAGCGAGAAAGAGAGAAAGAGGCGGACCGGTGAGCATAATCGGTACCGGAGTTACACCTATTTGTTCTTTCAATTCCACGTAGGTTAGGCATTTATGATTTTCCACGGTCTATAACTGGTACTGCTCCTCTCGCGGGTGGCCAAACCAGAGCAGATGCTCTGGGGTTCGCCATTATCTATCTTCTCGTCGTAGATGCTAGAATGGCAGGAGTTAGAACGAATTAGAATTGAATCGACTCGTCCAACGAATTCCGTATCGATCGAGTACCAGGAACAAGAATGTGGTTAGACGATTTGCGCAAATTATCTATCTTTCTATCTATCTATCTATCTATCTATCGAGAGAGAGAGAGAGAGAGAAAACAACGTTTACACGAAGCGACACGGGAAACGAGCGAAAAGCGCTTGCGAAAAAGGTGACACAGCACTCGTCTTAAACGTCTATTCCGAGAAGATCCACGACGACGATCTATACGATCTTATCTCTTAATCGATCATCCGATAGAGGAATCTTTCTCCTTCGCTTCGACTTCCTTAGGTAGTATGTAGTAGGTTTCTACCAGCGGAATGGCCGGCATACCTACGTAGTATCTTTTTTTTTCCCATCCTTTCGATCTTCATCCCTCTTGCTTCCCCTTCGTAAGAAATTTTTCGCGGTGGACGATTTCTTAGGACGCCTCAAGAATTTTCCCAAGTTAATCTCGCATTAAATCTATCGCACTATCCAACGATCCGAGATAATAAGATCGTAATTGCAGCAACGATTCGTTTACCTCCTTGTTCCGGCTTTCCTCTTTGCCTCGCTAGAAGAGAGTGAAATCGCAAAGACGTAACTTGTCTTTTCTTCTCTCTCTCTCTCTCTCTCTCTCTCTCTCTCTCTCTCTCACTCTTCCTCTCTCTTTCTTTTCTTCCGTCCATCGACTCCGTTCAAGAGCCTGCCCAAGTTTCTCTCCAAGCTGACGCAAACTCTCGCACGCGAGAGCGAGAGAAAGCAATCGTGAGAGAGAACGAGAGAGAGAGAAATTCCACTGCCAGCTGCGAGGAACCGGATCCTGACGGTTAATTAGTAGCTTCGATCATTCGACGATGAATCAGACTATGAGAACCATCGAGCTCTTTCTATGGGTGGCGCATCACGAGCCAAAGAAAGAAATAAAGAAAGAGAAACTAATAGCTTAAAATGCTGTACGCGTCGTGGTCGGAGGCACGATCGGAAAAGACGCTTCTCTAAAATACTATCCCGAGGACGAAGCTACTTAGTCATCGATTCCATCGCGAGCATTTGCTACGTCATAATTCGTCGAACAGCTTCGAAGAAATCCTACAAACGTAAGCAACTACGTTTGGCTTCCTCTCAACGTATTTAAATAAACGTATAAAACGACAAAAGTCTTCGATCGTTCGAGAAAACGAGAATAAATAAGTTTAACGTTGAGAATTTTTAATGATAGTACTCGAAAAAGTGATTCGTAGGAGGTATCGACCACAGTGATTATTTTTCATATTGATGATATAAAGAGAGAGAGAGAGAGAGAGAGAGAGCGCATCCCGTCGAGCGCTAATGGATCGATCTTGGGTGGTTCCAAATCCACGCGATCGCGAGATCGAAAGATCGAGAGATCGAAGGAGGAAAAGCGCGCTCTTCTCTCGACTTTTACTCGTTTTGTTTTTTGTTTTCTTTTGCTTCGTTTTTTTTTCCCCCTCTTTAAACGAACAAATATCGCGGAGAAAGAGGACGAAGGCAAATCCCGAATGGGTTTCCCCCCACCGAGTCGTCTTCGCGTGTCAACGTGGGCGGCACTGTCGTCGAGTACTTCGTAAAACGAGACTTGGCGTACAGACGAAACTGGGCCCGCAAGGGCCCTCACGTCAATTTGCCTCGCGTGTCGCGTGATTAACGCAACCTTATTAAAAGGCACGTTCGTTGGTTGGTTCGTTGGTTGGTTGGTTCGTTCGGCCGCGACGAAACGTACGGCCGCCCATTAACCTTAGCGAAATCGTGGTGGCTAATTAATCGGAGCAATTAAGAGGAGAAGAAGAGGAGGGGGCCCACGGATCCCCGCGTGGATCGCCGAGCCGCGACGCGATGATCTACGTTCGGTGCGTCCGGGCCGATTTATTAATGCGAGCCAAGGGCGAGCCTTTCCACGCTACGGGGTGGTCCAAAACCGCGAATCGAATACTCTCGCCGAGTAGGCGAGACCTGCTGGGATAAAGGGAAAAGGAGGGAGGACGATAAAGACGATCGGGCTGGCTCGTCACGTATCGGACGAGGCACGCGACGAAGCCTGCTTGCGTACAGCTTGGATCGATCAATGATCGAAGGAATGTCAAAAATACGAGCTATTCCGGTCGCGCTGGCCCACCCGGAGAATCGTAAATGCCCGTATAAAAATAGTACTCCAAGGGGGTGGGTGCATCTGGTCTCGATGCGACGCGAAGCGCAGCTATCGGGGCACGCGCGCGCGCGCGCGCGCGCGAGAGAGAGAGAGAGAGAGAGAGAGAGCCATCTCACTTGCTCTCTCTTGGTCTCGCTCTTTGTCCTCCCTTTCGAGCCGCCCCCCTTCCCTTTGGCCACGCGACCTTTTTTTCTCGCAAAGAATCGGTAGGCCCGCGGCGTTCGACGATACGTCATTTCTTGGCAGATCGGCCGATCCATCGATCGGTCCATCGATCGAGCACGTATTAACGCGTCGCGTCACGCCGAGAATGCGCCTCGATGCGTCTCTATTTCTTTTCTCCGGACCTTTTAGCCGGCCCTTCCGGACCTTTTATCCTTTCCACCCACCACCATCACCGCCATCAACGGTACATAAGACGACGAAAAGAGCCGCGGCGATCGATGTCCACGCACGAGGAAGATTTATCGACCGGTTTCGCGAGTCCGTCTCTCTTTTATTCCCTACTCATATCTCGGCGAGGGGACGACCGTCGGGGAACACGGACTCGCGCTCTCAGAGTCGCGAGATCGAACGGAGGAGAAATGTTCGCGCATAGAATTTACGATTAGGTTGGACCCAAGTGGGCGGTCCGGGATAATTAATGAACGATTCGAGCGCGAGAGAGGCAGAACGGCAAAGAAAGTCATCTTCCGAAACAGGTGGTTCGCAAAGTTCGACGTTTAATCCCGGTGGAAGGAAGGATGGGACGATTTTTTCGAAAGAAAGGACCAATTTCGTAAAGTCACCGTACCTACGCTCGACTATATCGTACTCGAGCAGAGCCCGCGGGACGAATGGGATTAATTAATATTAGTAACACTGGGGGAGGCCGTAATTAATTACCGGAGCGACGTTGGCCATTCGTCTTAATACGTGCGCGCTATGCGCCCCGTGGCATTCGCTCGTTTGTTCCCGGTTGAGCCAGATAATGATCGCGACCTAATGAAAACATTATGTTCCTCGAGGCTCCTCTCTCCGACTCCGGTTCGCTTCTCTCTCTCTCTCTCTCTCTCTCTCTCTCTCTCTCTCTCTCTCTCTGTCTTCCCAGGCCGCTCGCACGCGCGTTATTCCTCGTACAGCGCTGCGCCATTATCCTTTCGGCGATCTCAGCTGGAAGAAGGGACGAACGCGCGAGAAACGAACGACTCGTCCCTCCCGAATTTTTATTAGTTACTTTTTATTATCATTATTACGATATCGTTTCCGTCGATATCGCATACGACGGCTATTCGACGAAATTATTTATAACGTGCCTACCGTACCGAGCTACGTTCGAAACAAATTCATTAATACGTTAGTACGCGACAATCCCCTTTCTTTCTTCTTTGGTTCAAAAACCAAAGACGTAGAACGATGTTACTACTTATCTTAACCTCTTGTCCCTTCTTTTTTCTTCTAAAGGGTAGTACTACTATTAGGTACGTCCAAGATGAGCCGATGGTAATGCACATTGATCGCCTTCGTGCCGGCATTATGCTTACCGTTTGTACGGCAATAAATACATAAATGTTTGTCCATAACAGAGAGGATAATTTGCTTTGGAGAGACCCTATGGGATATGGGGCCAGGTATAAGTTCCTTTTTCTCTGGATAATCCGTCGTTTATTCTTTTCTCCGTTTTGCTATCTCTTGTCAAACGTATCCCGTTGTATCACGCTTAAGTATCGCGTCAGAACGCAACCCCCCCAATGAAACGAGAAAGTTTGTGAAAGACATTGACGATCGTCGTTCGAAAAAAAAGAAAGAAGATCCTCTCTTAACCGCAACGAAAGAAAACTGAAGAAGCATCTCTATGTTCTACCGTTTTGGGCGCCAGCACGCTCACTCACGGAACGATAATTGGCTCTCTAGGCGGCACCTTTGATGTCGTCCGACTCGTTCGCGCCCCTGCCAGAAATCCTTCGTAGGTGTTCCTACGACTCCGTAGATCGCGCGACGTCCAAACGATTCCCGCTTCGTCGGAAGCAACGTCGGAATTCGAAGATGACGCGCGCGCGCGCGCGCGCGCCCAGTCCTTCCTCCTAATAACGGCCAACCCTTTATTCGTCTTTCACGCTTTGTTCCTTTGCTTAAGGAGCAAGACGAGAGTTAAACTATATTAGACTAATCCCATAGGATCCATCCTACGGGAATCCTCTCCCGCTGTTACCCGCTCGACTCGACGGTACTCGAGAACGCACCTGCTCTTGGTGCCTTGCTTCCTTATCCTCTCTCTCTCTCTCTCTCTCTCTCTCTCTCTCTCTCTCTCTCTTTCGCCTCTGTTCTCCTGAATAGCCAATTAGAAAGGAGATTCGTGTCCGTGGAAGCGTTCTAATGTCCGCGCTTCTTCGCGGAGGCGTCCTAGAAAGGAAGAGAGAGGGAGAAATGGCTGGAGGAGGCGAGGCGAGGTAGCTCGTAAATCTAAAAGCCGCGCTCAGGAACCGAGGGGGCTGTGAATAGGTGTAAATGAAGTTGCGGCCTGCGGGCCACCGCAAACTCGACTGGACCACCCCGTACCTATATTTTGTCGTCCTATGCGTGGCGCTCGGCCGCACCAAATAAATAGTCACGAGCGCCTACGGTGGCCTCCGCTAATACTATTCCCTCAACTAGTCGCTGTCCTCCTCCGCGACTTACCGCCAACGACGTTATCATGCATGCGACCGACCACCTTGCACCCCGGTCTTCTTTTTCTTTCTTTCTTTCTTTCTTTCTTTCTATCCTCTTCTTCCTCTTTCACTTTATCTCCTTTGCTTTTTCTTTCCTTTTTTTTTCCTTTCCCAAAGCGCTCGCTTCGACCCTCGATAAAACTATTTTCGAAAATACGACCCAAACTAGATAGCAAATTGCCAAGACCACTCTTCTCTTTCGCCCAGTGTACGATCCAGATGTAAACGGAGGAATATCTGGATGATTTACTAGTCGGTCATCTGCGAGGCCATCGACGTTAAAAGCCAGATGCACCGAAACGTGCCGACTTTATTTTTACCAACGGTAGAAGCAGCAAATGCCTCTTACGCATCCGTTTAAATAGGTGGATATATTCCCTTATGACTTTGTGTCGATCGAACGAAATCAAATCTACTCGTGGAAAAGCGAAAGTAGAATCGATTAGTAAATCGATTCGCGTAAACGATGCCTCACGGCTGTACGCACACCTGCGAGAACACGCTCGCGCGAGCCGTCGCAATTAAGTAGATAATTATCATAAGAGTACCGAGCGAGAGAGACCGGGAAGGTAATATCGTTCGTATAGCGGCTCCTACAGACGCGTCCTCGCCCTCGGCGACCATCGTTCCTACGATGTAACAGGCGTAGCTTACATATACGGCTTACGCGACTATTCGATTATCGCGAAATGTTATACGTGCACCACGAGCCACAAGTACTTTGGTTACATGGGTCTATATCTTACGTAAAACGTTAGTCGATCCATCCTCTGCTCTCGAATCTTTCTTAATCTCTTTTTCCGTCGACTACAAGATCGTCGTATTTATTTTTGTATATATATCGAGCCGCCTTCTCTCTACGTAAAAAAGCGAATATATTCCAGAAAGGTAAGTAAAAGTAAAGGCAGGGCGAAAAGCGATACGAGTAAACAATCCTTCCTTTCATTCGCTCGCTATACGATCGCTTTAATCAGCTGGTGAGGCTGGTCCTATGGTTTTATGAAGGAACGAATAAATCACGAATAACCCAGGACGCCTAGGTATCTCTCTCTAGGTTTCGACGAGAGATTCTAAGGTATGCGATTGAAGGGGAGTTTGCGACAGAGAAAAGAGAGACCAATAGAAGGAAAAAAAGACTGACTCGCTGGACGGTCAGTTCGTCGTCCGAGGAAGACGTTTCTTGTACCGTTCTCTCGACGGCAAAAGCGAACGGGGAGCGCACCTTCGTGGACGGGCATTCCAAATGTAATTGCCTTGGATTTTGCTTGCCGACGATAAACTGTTCGCCTCCGAGGATCGGGGACGTCGGAGTTTAAACGAGTAGATGCGCCGTTGTAAAAACGTAATTGGAGTCATTGCGCGAAATTAGTTGCGAGCTCGCGCCAGAGAAACACGCAGAAGGATGTGAGCGAGCATGCCTCTTACCCTACCCTACCGTACGAATGTCCTGCTGGCAAAATTTTGGCTTTGTTTACCTCCTTCTCCCGACAAATACTACTTAATATCTATCGGAGAGGTGCCGCTGTATAAAAAAGACGGAAGAAAAAAAAATATAGAAAAAATATGCGAGAGAGAAAGAGAGGCACGCGTGCACCAGCGGCGATTGAGCGCCAGCAAAGAAATAAAAGTGGGAAAGAGCGACGGTGGGCACGAGTTCCTTGCTTGCTTTGCCAAAGGGGTGGGGGTAAAAGGAGAGGGGCGTGGCCTCGTGGCGGGGACCGACCCGCCTACCACCGGCGCTTCCCCCGGCGACCACGTGCTCGAGCGTTTGCTCCACCGATCCAAAGAGTTCCTTCTTCTCGGCGCAGCGACGATGCTCCCCGAGTTTCGAAGCATATCGCGACGTTTCGTCGCGACGAAACTTCGAAATTGGTGTCGACGAAAGGGATGTTCCCTGTCTCACGCTAGCTACAACGAATGACAAAGGAATGCAAAATTGTGTAGGAGCGAGAGGACGAGATGATCGAGGTCCGCGTCGTTCGTTCAGTCGTACCTTTGCTTTTCTCAAACTAGATATGTTGGTCGAAGGAATAGAGGGGGCGCGAAGGCTGCTCCTTCGAGAGGGAGGAGAACGGTAGCGAGAGAAAGAGAGCGAGAGAGGCGGGCCGAGATTCGATCGGTCTGGGGGGGGTCTCGAGGGCCTCACCGATTCGATGGAAGGGGAGAAGTTTCTCTCTCTCTCTCTCTCTCTCTTTCTCTCTCTCTCTCTCTCTCTCTCTCTCTCTCTCTCTCTCTATCTCTATCTTTCGCTCTCTCTCTGTCTTCGCGAGGACGAAGAGGAAGCTACGGAGGTGGGAGGTGAGAAGGAGGAGGAGAGATCGGCTCCTCCACGGAGGAGCGCGTGCAGTCGGCTAGCCGAGGCCTATACTTGTCCGTCGAAGGGAATTGGTCTTGCAGCGATTCTTCAAAGTATCTCTCGAATAAACCGCGCGCGAGAAGATAAGGGCGTCGGATAGAGGCGCGATTCGAGACGCAAGAAATTGAGCGCGTTTACGCGCCACCCTTCAGAACATAGAGAGAGAGAGAGAGAGAGAGAGAGAGAGAGGGAGAGGGAGAGAGAGAGAGAGAGCAAGGTCGCGAGGACGACGAGGTGCGAGATAGAGAATAGAGGGTGCCAGGTAGAATTCTCGCCTCCCCCACCATCGACTCGAATCTTCCGAAGCATCGGCGTGCCGCACGACGACACCCACCCCTCGAAGGAAGGGCCCGGAGGGTGAGTTTCCCTGCCCCGAGCCGACCGATCCTCGGACCCTTCCGCAGTCGGTCACGCTGGACTCTACCGAGCGCATTACGAGTCTTGCCTCTCTCTTCTCGACGTCGACGACGACGACGACGACAACGACGACGTCGACGACGACGACGACGACGAAGGGCGACGACGACGACGACGACGACGACGACGACGACGACGACGACGACGACGACGACGACGACGAAGACGACAAAAAAAGAGAACAAGAGGAAGAAGGAAAGAGAGAGAATGCGCTCGAGCTGACGAGCGTTCGCTCGTGTGCGCATTCTTACGAAGGACGGTGTGATGTTGGACGGACGGTGAACAACGAGTTTGGTGCACGGTGTCCTATCAAGCTATTACGGATATCTCTAGCACTCTTCGAGCTACTCCAAGAGCCACGATAGCCGACATTACGGCAAATAGAGATCGTTGGCCCACCATGAGACTCTGGCTTCTTTTCGGTGTCCTCGGCTTTGCGACCAACGTGGCGCTCGCCGAGATTACGAGAAACAAGAATCGCGGAAGGGGTTCTATGTGGTGGTGAGTCATTTTCGGTCCGCTAATCAGGACGATACATTATTCTCCGTCTTTTTTCTCTTCCTTAGAAATTCTTCTTAGCTCGGTTTAGGCACGTTAACGGTAAACCAAAGTGGCCGCGCGTTACGTGTGTCCTACCGAATAAACTCGAATTTCTCGTTCGTTTTAATGCAGGTCAGTGACGAACTCGAACATCGTATACATCGTTGGTGGTCGTGCGAAATTAAGATCCGTCGCTAAAGAGCTGACGTGAATAACTATCAAGATTTTTTTTATCGATATCGATCTTATTAAAACGAGTTATTCCAGTTAATCCTATTTAACGCGATCGCGCGTCTTAACCGGCTTTTCGAATCTTTATTCGATATAAATTTCCTAGTCTCGATTTATCTTTCCACGCCGCGAACCTGTAGCGTTAAGTAAAGTCGATTTATCGTTCGAGCCACTTAGATAGCCACTTAGGAGCATCGAGAAGCAGGTTTCGATGTGTAACAGGTAACGTACACCTTACCTGTTGGGAAAGACAGACAGACAGACAGAGAGGGAGAGAGAGAGAGAGAGAGAGAGAGAGAGAGAGAAGGAAAGACAGTAAAAGTCGGTCGATTTTAACTCGAGCGATGATTTTTGGAACGAACGAATCGAAAAAACGTACGTTGTCTTTGTCAGAGTCGCTGCTTGCTCGCGCTCTTGATTTATTTACTTTGAGTAAATGTCGGCTCGCAAGATGAGTTCCTCTCTCCGCGGTTCATCCTCGCGCTTTGCTTTTCCTCTCGAGTGTGGGTCTAGAGAGGGTCGGGCTGAGCCGAAATGCCGTTGACAGGAGATACGTCGCTAGGAGATCGGACGACGGTGATTAGCTGTTTATTATACAGTGCGATGACTGACGGGATCCCTGTACGCGCGAGCTATTTCGAATTGATGGGGTTGCGTCCGGACACGCGCCTAACCGTTTACAAGACGATATATCCAAAGCACGATCTGCCTCTCGTCTTGCTCGTACTTGCGCGCAACCTTAAACCGACAGAGAAGGAGAGAGAGAGAGAGAGAGAGAGAGAGAGAGAGAGAGAGAAAGAGTGAGAGTGAGCGCTCTCGTTCGTCTTCCTTTTCCCACGGAGAAACACGCGGACCTTCTCTTTCGATCGTTTTTCTGCGAGACGCTCCATCGATCGAGACGCGAATTCTTTTCGCAGGCTCCTTTATATAACTATGTACTTATACATAAGAGTAGGTATCTTACATGCCCATAGCTGTACGCACACGAACGTTCACCGAAACTGTTGAACCAGTTTCGTCTTTCGACCTAATCCTTCTCTTTACCCTCCTCGAGATGCTCCTCTTCGAGCGCGAATCTTTTTACGCGAGTACCCTCTCGCTTTAGCATCGCCTAGTGTCGGCCCGAACGATCTTTCCGAACGAGAAGAATGCGCGAGAAAAAAGATGCGCCTGCCTCCCTTGTCCGCAGCATTTATTCCCACTCCAATTTCTATCATCTCCTTCTAAAAAAGAGATTCCGATCGGTCAAGATCGATCGAATAAATCAAAGCTCTTTAAAGTATCTCTTCCGTCCAGGTTCCTTGCCGTAGCGATCTCTGTTTGAAAACACGTCCTTAATTCTCTCGTTCCTGCCGGTCGGCTACGTTAGAAAGACCCTTTTAAGACGTTACTCCCATCGTCCACTCTCTCTCTCTTTCTCTCTCTCTCTCTCTCCCCTTTATATTCGAATTCTCTTAATTTATTGGGATTAATTTGACGAATTAACCTTTCAGGGGAATCGCGAAAGCAGGAGAGCCGAATAATTTCCTACCGTCGCTCCATATGGATCCCACCGTTTATGCGACCTTGAGGAGAAAGCAGAGACGGCTGGTCAGAGAAAACCCAGGGGTACTTATGGCGGTGGCGAGAGGTGCCAATCAGGCGATCGGCGAGTGTCAACATCAGTTTCGTAATCGTCGTTGGAACTGCTCAACCAAGAACTTTCTCAGAGGGAAAAATCTTTTCGGCAAGATCGTCGATCGAGGTAAGAATCGCGCCCGAATATTCCTCTACACCCTGCCATCCTTCGCCCAGTTCTACGTGAAGTCTTGAGAACGAACGAAAAAGTCCTCGACGTCTTCGAGACTTTGAAGGAACTTTAGCTCGGAATCATGATTCGTGATAAAACGGCAGGTATATATAACGGACCATAAGGTGGACTCGTTCCACGTTCCAAAAAACCGTCCATTGTCCATGCTCGTCTCTGACAACCGGTATTCCCGATAGAGATTTACAGAAGACGAGTTTCGAGCAGATAGAGAGAGAGAGAGAGAGAGAGGTGGGGGAGAGAGAGAGAGGGACAGAGAAAGATAGAGAGAAGAAGGGATAGCGAGCGCTCGCGTGCGTCTCGTGAAGAAAAAAAAAACAAAAAGAGAGAAAGAGACGAAAGTAGGTAGGTATCGTCCTTCGTCGCCCGCGCCTTCTTTCTTTTCGATCTATCGTTCGAATCGTTCTTGAAAAGTCGTACGTGCTCTATGTAACATACTTGGCGACTTTGAGATCTTACTTCCTGTACTATTTAAAAGTGTTCTTCGTCTTTCATCACGATTCGCGTTCTCTATCTCCTATCTTTTTCTCTCTCACGCGCACACTCCCCCTTCTTCCATCTCATTTTTTTTTCTTTTTTCTTTCTTTTTTCTTTTTTCATTCGCATGCTTCTTTTAGTTTTACTAAGTGGCCATATGGGGACATTCGACATAATGGGGTGGGAGCGGCTCGAGCGAAAAAGCTCGGCTTACAATCGCCTCGACGAGATCTAAAAGAGCCGCAGGGGAGCCAGAACTGGTACGAGAAGGTCCATTATCAGGTTGCAAAACATACATCTGGCCCGGCGAGGGCACGTGCCCGGGGCCTTCGGACGAAGGGCACGCCTCTTTCGACCCCCCGCGCATCTCT